CGGCATGCTGTGTCTGGGAGCGGAGATTCCAGCTGGAAGAGCTGTTCCTGGATGCTTCTTGTCGCTTCTGTCACTTTTGTTTTTTAAATTGAATATTCCGACGCGGAAAAGAGGTTGGCAGACCTCTCGGACAGTCCTTGGAACCGGTTTGACAAGAATAAGGTAAGCAGACACCTTTTTATATCTAAAGTCTGCATAATTGGATATTAGCTAAATTTTGGTCTGTTTTTGGGGTCTGTCAAACTCTCTAAATTGTATTTGAGAAGAAGTCTCGGGGTTAGAGTCCCTTTGAGAAGAAGCTTCAGGGTTCGAGTCCCTTTGAGAAAACGTTTTCGGGGTTAAAGTCCCTTTGAGAAAGTCTCGGGGTTAAAGTCCCTTTGAGAAAAGCCTCGGGGTTAAAGTCCCTTTGAGAAGAAGCTTCAGGGTTAAAGTTCCTTTGAGAGAAACCATGGTGTAAAAATAAAAAATAAATAAAAAGGGAGGAAAAACGAGTGCAGAGACCTTTGTTGCAAAAGTCTTGAAATTGGCCAATTTCAAGTTTAATGAGTGACAAAAGTTGAAGCAATAACATCTGTTATATTTCAGTGATCACGGTTTAAATTACATACAGAAAAAGGGAGTTTTTGTTTTTGGAGTGAACAGAGTTCACCGGAGAATGCAGAGTTTTATCTAAAGTTGAGCTATGAGAGCTTTCGTGAGTTGTTTACATTTTTTGCCGAGTTATATCTACAGTTAAGCTATGAGAGGGCTGTATCCAACAGTTGTTTTTGTTTTTTAGAAAGAGATTTTGAGTTTAAATTAGTTTGCTACCTCGATAAAATAGAAGCGTACGTTAAAGACAAGAGTGCCTTTTGTTACTAGTGTGGAAAGTGGCCATTTCTAGACTTGGATGACAAAAGTTTAAAGAACAACATCAGTTATATTCGCTTTAAAAAGTAATCTTGAAAGTTCTTCTTCTGTATCTTTTTGCCTGTGTGTGCACATCTCTATCTGCTGCCGTTGTCAGGGAAACGGCCCCCTCCTTCGCTGCTCTGGCTCTGAATCAGAGCAAAGCTACTGCTTTTAGGATTTTGGCTTTTATTAAGTTTTTAAATTTGCGAAATTTGCAATTGAACCTTGTGTTTAGACACAGTTAAACGTTTTTAAACACCATTTAGTGAATAAGTTTTGAATATTATATGTTTTTTGAAACCCAAATATTAGTGCTAAAAGCTGTGCAATTCTTTTTAGACCTAACATATTTCTAGATTCCATTCTTTTAAATCTGCTGCTTATTTTGTGAGTCCATTATTGTATCTCTGATATATTTCATAGCTGTTTGTGAGAATTTTTTTAATGTTTTTATTTTAGTTACAAAAGCCGTTTTTCAAACATTTAAATTAGAATCTGTGTTAAAAGTGATTATTGATTATAGACTTCGTCTAAAAAGAAAGAGGGAATTAGGAATTAGCTGTAAAAGTATTATTAAGTTAAACTACCCAATTCACCCATTGCAAGCGGTGACGTTTTTGTTTTGACTACACGCCTGACCTTCCTCCTGCTGCAGATGCACGCAGCACAGGAGCCTGGTCTAAAATGTGCTCCAATTCATATTGACTTAAGTTGAAAATGCTGCAATTATTTTAAATTAGTAGAATATATGCTGAGATAAATGTTCATGGATAATTAATCACACAGTACAAAAGTATATAATACATATTTTAAAGTTTAAAAAGGTTTTTTTAGATTTGAGTCTTGTTTTTTTATATTAAGAGTTTCTGGTCTTAAAAATGTCATCATTAGTAAGATAATAAGTAATCTTTTATTTACATAGCGCTTGGGAAACCCAGAGCGCTCCAAAATTGTTTTGACTTTAGGGAGAAAAACAATCTCATTCGCATACTGATATCTATTGTTTTTTAAATCGGCCGTCTCAAGGATTGTTTTTCAGACTCTGCCACACTGTACGGGGTCACTGCTGGACACTGGACAGCGCAACGCCCACCCAGCCACAGGCCACAGAGCTAAGAGCAAAGGGCAACAATGCCACCTCTACGCCCCTCCCCCCACTACAGTCGTAGGTGGCAGTGAGACCGGGGCCACAAAGTGAGGTTTTCTGTAGGCAGTGGTGGGTGAGTTGTTTTGCAATCTGGAAGTGTGCCCACTTTGCTTGTTTACATCACCACAGTGTGACCTTTGACACCTACAGGTGGTTTGAGGAGTCTGGAGACACAACCCCAAAATTCACATATTCACATACACACACACACATACACACATTCATACACTCACACATTCACATTTACATATAGATACATGAAAAAGCAGAACATGAGAAAAAAGCATTTAAAAGTTTACTCCAATGTAAACACATATTTGTCTATCACTTGAATCTTTATTTGAATCAGTATTTTTTGAGACCAGAAATGTTCATTTGAATTCTATATTGTCATGGACATAATTGACCTCTGTCCTGACACTTTTGATTTGTTGATTTTGTACTGTGTGAAGTAATTACATTGATTAGAATTAGATCTGATAAAAACACAAATTAGAGAAGTAAACTGAATCACTGCGCTTGCTTTTGTCTGAGGGACATTAGCAACAGCAGGAATAGAAATTGTGTTAAAGTAGAATCAAAGTGACTTAACCATAGAAAGTAACTATTGCATAACAAGCTGTGTACAGGAACTGAGACACTGCACCATTGACCAGAAGTGCATCGCAAATGACCTGATGCGCTTCAAGTGAAAAGACTGTATCTGGAGATCCTGATGTGCATCTGGAGAAACCAGAACCATGGCTTGGACCCTACTGATGACCAAGATGACATCTCTCTATGACCTGACCTGATGACGACTGAGACTCACCCTCAGGGGACCCTGAGGACCTGAGGACCTGAGAGAGAAAACTGGGGAGTGATTTTATATTTCTAAAATCATACATAGATGAGTGCTAAATGAGAGAGATACTCATGATTCTTCTTTTGTTTTTGTTTGTCCCTAGCTTCTGGACATCTGATGATCTATTGGACACAGCCATTTGCAGAACAAGAACCAGCCAATGAAAAACGTCTATTGCCGATGCTATTGCTACAACCAGAACCTGTGACAAATGCAATATACATGTTAAGTATTCAGACATCTGACAGACAAAACTTTGACTTTTTTAGTCTGGGAGACTGAGCAACTGTTAAAAACTTTGAAAATGATAAAGTATGAGTATTGTAGCGTTTTAGTAGATGTTAAATAGTAGTAAAAGAGTAGAATTTGACTTCCTTTGTTTTTCATAAACAAATTTCAACTTAGAGTTAAAATAGTACCCTACAATGTTATCCTTTTGATAGATCAGCTATAATATTAGAATCAGAATAATGTTACAGCCATTAAAAGTGACAGAAGTCACAAATTAGGAATATGCCTTTGCTCAAACTGCAGCCGAGCTTTGGAGTTAAACAAATAGAGTAAAAATAGGAATAGAGAAATGCATCAACCATAGATGCTTTCAAAAATAGAGAATATTCTTAGCCAGTGCTAATATCAAATGGTAAAGGGACCATTTCACAAGCATTTACTTCAAAAGTAGATAAAGTTACTTACAGTTTTATGTACAGTTTTATTAGATACTGCCAAATTCACTTGTGTTCAAACATGAGTGAATGTTGACAATACAAAAAGTCCATATGAGTGTAGTCTAGATTAATGCCTAGATTAATGAGATAGATTACAACCAACAGAGATTCAAAAGCATTTAAAAGCATTTTGATGTATTTGTGTATAGCACAAAAACACAATAGTAGATATTTAGATATTTGGATATCTTTGAGAAGTTTAAAAAGCTGTAGATTCATCAGCACAGATTAGAATCAGAATTCAAACACCATTGTAGAATTACTGACCCCAACCCCAAACCTGCTAAAATAGATTAGCTCTTGTAAGGATAGTTCCAATTTGATTAAAGATGTACATTCATCCCAAACTGATAATGAGAGTATAAAACCACAGAATAGAGAGATTTGTTAGATTAAAATGTATGTTTAAGAATATGGCTCAATAGAAGCAAATATGCAAACATATTTGTAAATAGATTAGAATAGTTTTAAACTATAGTGAATAGAGAGTAAAGTACACAGTCTAAGATTGAAAAGTGATAATAATACAGTGAAATAAGTGAAGTGTAAACAATTATCATTAGAATAAAAGTATAGAGTAATAAAAGTTAAATTAGCTTCTAATTTGAGACTCAGCTCGTTTTTGTCTGTGTTTTGACTGAATCTGCTGAGTTCTTGTGTGTCCAATAGTGTTTGTTTGTTTTTATTTTTGATTTGTATTTGTTTATTTTTTCCCAGGATAGAGGATAAAATTGATTTGATGATTATGAGTTTAATGCATACATTTTCTTTGTTTTTAATAATTTTTAAAAAGTTTTGTTTAAATTTTTTTTTTCTTTTTCTACTTTATTGATTGATCGATTTGAGTGATCACATGTGATTATGTGATCAAAGGGGAGGGTATTAGTATTAGATAGCAATATGGCCTACGTGCAGGACTGTACAAGGACTCTACAAGGACTCCATGTTATGACTATGATGTGACTGTCTCTTTGTGACACGTATGTCTTTCCATGTGTGACGTGACAATGACTATATAAACTGTACTGCCTTTATTCTGTCTGGGAGAAAGAAACAGAGTAAACCAGTGGAACTTGAGAGAAACTTAAATAAACTTCCAGAGTTTGGCACACCACGATCCGTCTCTGTCTGCTAAATCCTGACACATATACATAAAGTATGGTTGGCTTGACTCCAAAGATTGGGGGCGCGTACCTCTCAATCTCAAGATTAAATAGCTCCAGTATGTGAAGTCCTTCCAGCAGCTAATGGCTTTTGTTGCTGGGAATAATCTGCACATCCTCTCCTACTTCCTGGGGGTCGGTGGCGGACCCCTTTCCGTCTCATCTCCTCAATGGCCACTTCCATGTGTGTTGACCTCGCCGCCCTCCTGTGGTTTTCAGGAGGTGGTTCAGTCGGACAGAGCCACCCGCATTGAGGGAGGAGGTGGAGTTCTGACACGGGACCATGACCCATGAGGTGTTTTATAGCGTTAGGCAAAGCAGGTGCAGGATTTAATTAAGACAGTAAATTTCCTCCTCCATGTCCAGCATCGGTTCAAACAGTGGCGGGGGTTATGAAAACACTCAAGGGTTGCTTTTTGGCAATGCCATCCATGATCGTGACAATAAAAGCAGGAGTAATGTATTTGCTGGAAAAACTACTCAAGAACCGATCTAATTTCAAATTCATGATCAAGTTAAATGCAATAGATACAGCACTGAATAATGCACACAAAAATACACAATGGATCTGCTTTAGCCCGGTCCACTTCACGCTCTGCCACTCTGCAATTGCTTGTCATAATTATGCTCTAATTTTTTCTTATTCAAAAGCTTGGTTGTTTACTGAAGGATAAAGCAGTGCCAACTTTACCTGTGGTTAAATTATGTCAGAATTGTAATTGAATTGAAATTGTATTTGGACAGAAGAGGAGTAGTTCTACACCACTTTTGTTTTACAATTACAACATTTATAGGCGAGGCAAGTTTATTTGTATAGCACAATTCATACACAAGGCAACTCAAAGTGCTGAACAAAACAAGAAAGCATTAAAAATCACATTAAACATTAACATTAAAAAGAAAGATAAAAATATAAAATCTCTCAGTTGTATGCACAGCTAAACAGAACTGTTTTTAACCTGCTTTTAAACATTGTCAGAGAGGAGGCCTGTCTCACATATACAATATATTCATTCAAGAGAGATGCACATTTGTCAGACTGGGAGTGGTTATCGGGATATTGTATTTTAACAACCCAAGCCACTTGATGTACACTCATAATCAACATCTTTCCAGAAAAGAGTGAAAGGGCGAACTTGTGTAGTGTAGTGTCCTTTAGTCTTCAGTAAAAACAGAATAAAATTGCCCCTTTGCTGCCTGTTGCTTTTCTCCAAATAAACCACAGAGGCCACTGATCCAGTACATGTACATATATATATATATATTAGGGGTGTGACGATATATCGCGATACTTTCTCCCGCGATTCGATTATCGATATGCATTTGCCATATTTCATTTTTATTTTTTCAATTTTTATTTTAAAAAAATAGTATCTATACTTATTATATGGCTACATTACGCATTTCCATTCCATTTATCATGAAATAAAGTGTATTTTTTCACTTAACCTTTTTCTTTTATTTATGCCATGAATTGGTATATGGTATATTTCTGACCAATATATATCGATAATCGTCATATCGTGATATAATCGTTATCGTGATATTATCGGTATCGTGAACTTTGTATCGTATCGTGAGGTACCCTTAGGTTCCCACCCCTAATATATATATATAATTTCCAAAGGTCAAATATGAAATTCACTTCTGCTTTCATTAATGGACAGGTATTGTAAATGTATTGGATACCATGCAGAAAAAAAGATGTTTTCCCTACGAACACTCACAAATTTTAATATTTGCAAGCCCAAGTCGAGCCTCAAGTCTTAAGGGGACCAGTCCGAGTCAAGTTGAATGTCTTTAAAAGCAGTACAAGCACTATTGTCCAAAATGTATTTTTTGCAAACAGCACTTTGAAACTAGGGTTCCAACTGACCACACAACATTGACTTAAATGAATCGTGGGTCATGACTTGTATTAACATGAGAAATTGAAAGGTAAAAGGCATTACTTGGAAGGAGGATAGGATTGCAGCTAAACAGTAGTGAAGTGTTAAACTTGCAGAACGTCTGCCTGTCACAAAACAAAAGGTTAAACTGCAAACATTGCTGTAGTTTGGAGAACACACACAATGTCTCAATGAATTCAAATACAAGTTTCAGTAAAGTGTTCTTTCTGGAGGAATAAACCTCTTCATGCCACTGATCACAGAGTGAGGATCTTGATGTGGAAGAATAGGTAAATAACAACTCCTGTCAATGAGTAAAGGAGCCGCATGGGGGAATTAAGTTGTTTTGGATGGAAAAGAAACTTTGGCACAAAGATCAGGGAGGGGCAACTTTACGGAAGAAAGATGAAGGAAGGGTGGGATAAAAAAAGAAGGACATGTCAGGGGTTGCTGGGCGGTCAAAGAACGAGCAACTTCAAAGGGCCTCTTGTCTACTGTGTGTTTGGTTTAGGGGATCCAACTACTTAGAAGATTAACTGTGGTCGATCTGTGCATTGCATCAAGGGGATTCCCTCGAAGACGCAAGCCAATCCGGCATCCACAAAGGGAAAAGCAAAAGAACTTTTAACCATGTTGCAACATTGTTCCATCATGTTTTAGCAGCACACACACCAATATCAGCAACTTCTTGCACAAAATTGTCCCCCTTCCCCATTAGTCTAAATGATTCTGTCTCAAACCTATGATGTAAGCTATCCAGACAAAGTTTCAATTTTAGATTTGGTTTGAATTCAACTTGGCCTGGCCTTAAACCAGCTCTATGTAAAAAAAATAATAATAATTTAGCTTTAGTGCCCCTACAGAGTAATCCTCAAACCTCAGCCTGAAGAAACTGTAGTTGAAACTAATAAATAAACTTATTTTTCAGTGATCAGAACATCTATTTTTTGAAAGCACTTGCTGCTGTTACTACTGCTGTCTTTTTCTCCAACCACCTTAGCAGCAACATATCCTCTACATGCCATGAAGTGAAAATGCATACATATTAATGTGAAAAAAGCAATTTGTCGACTTGCCCATATTCATTTTGGACCAGCAGATGGCTGCGTGTGTGCGTTTACCTGGCCATGCCCAAACTAGAGAACCCAGCGGTGACAATGAGGACGTCAAGGCGAGAAAATGGATGACCTCCCAGGACACTGTGAGCAGCAGCCAAACACCGAGGGAGGAGATTAAGGACCAACTGAAAGAGCACAAATATATATATAGTGTGTACATTCAACAAGTTTACCCATACATCACCAACACTGTGCAACTTTCAGACGTGGAATATTGTCCTTAAACTCACACTGCAAGTCACAAACAAAGAAAGCAAAAGGAGATATCACGCTACACGGAGAGATAGACGTGAGCAGCTGTTCGGGTACCGTACGAGACGAGAGTCCATCGACTCTGTGTTGGAGCCAGCGGAGGGGCACAAGTATGTGTGCACTGCTCTGGGCAGCCTACTTCCCGTGCACACTCAAAAAACATGATAAAAAACTACTTTGTATGGTTTTTATTGATAAAAACTAAGGAGTGTGAAAGGATTCAATAAAACTCCATATTGTCTGGAACAAAGCATTAGCAGGTGCTTTCGGAAGCATATATTACAGTATTTCAATAATAATTTCATCAACTAGCCTGCTTTGACTGGCAGAGCCTGTCAAACAGCTGAAACAACAAACACTATTGTCATGTGTTGAAATGTTTCTTCTGCAAGTGACTGTAAAAATACAATCTCAGTACCTGGGCCCTTTGCAGCAGGCAGAGGGGGGCAAACACACGGTGTGGAATCTCCTGCTGGGACATGGCTCGCTGCTCGGAGAATCGGCAGGGGTAGTCTCCATGGGAACAGGAGATGCCGTCATCCAGTGGGCCTGAATAATCGGTTAGCACTGGGTCTTCATCCTCCGGGGAAGAACGGCAAAATGCAAACTCAGAGCGGGTGGTCTGGCTTTCACTGCGGCAGATTAGAAAGGTGTAATCCGAGGTTAATAATCAGGAATCACTGAGGGTTTCTTTTTGAAAACTACAGCAATGGATTTGGTGAGTGGCATGTGAATGTTTCTGGATCTCAAAAAGACAGGGATATGACAAATTGTGTGAAATATTGCTCATGTATTTTGTTGTCACAATACCGATGTAGAGACTCTTGCAACAAGTGTTATTACCTCTGCCCCTGTTAAGAGGAGAGAATATGTGGCCAACACCATTTGTTTGTGTTTTTTCTATGTGTTCGTGCCAAAAGTTATTTATTGGAGAATTTGGAACACATTTTCCAGAGTAGATTTGTAGATGATCCGGATCATTGTCTGGCCATGCTCCTCTCTGAAGATGGAGCAGCTAGAGCGCACACATGACAGAGAGAATCAGAATCAGAATAATTTTAATTGCCACGTAAGTAACAGGAAGTCACAGACTAGGAAATTGCTTTGGCTCAGTGCAACAGTCAAAAAGAGATAATAAAAATAAGAATAAAAAACACTTCTAAAGAATAAATTTAAATTTAAAATAGAGTTACAGTTACTATTTACAATATACAAGTGCACATGGTGCACACAATGTAAGGTGACAGCAGTACAGTGAAGTAAAGTGACGTATGATGGGCAGTAAAGTGACTTTATAAAGGGCGGAGGGACAGGTTAAGAAGTGTTCAAGAGTCCAACAGCAGAGGGGAAGAAACTGTTCTTGTGGCGGGAGGTTCTAGTCCTGATGGACCGCAGCCTCCTGCCTGAGGGGAGTGGTTGGAATAGTCCATGTGCAGGGTGAGAGGGGTCGGCTGTGATACGACCAGCCCGGCCTCGAGCTCGGGCGACGTACAGGTCCTGGAGCGATGGAAGGCTGCGGCCGATCACTTCCTCTGCAGAGCGCACAATGCGCTGTAGTCTCTGTTTGTCCCTGACTGTGGCTCCAGCGAACCACACGGTGATGGAGGAGGTGAGGATGAACTCTGGAGCTGCCGCAGGAAGTACATCCTCTGCTGGGCCTTCTTGATGAGGGAGCTGATGATCGGCTCCCACTTGAGGTCCTGGGTGATGGTGGTGCCCAGGAAACAATAGGACTCCACAGAGGTAATGGGGGAGTCCATCAACGGAGGGTGGGGGCGGGGGGACAGTGCTCTTCCTGAAGTCCACAATCATCTCCACTGTCTTCTGGGCGTTCAGCTCCAGGTTGTTACCACTGCACCAGGACACCAGCCGGTCCACCTCCCTCCTGTAGGCGGACTCATCGTTGTTGGAGATGAGTCCAATGAGGGTGGTATCGTCTGCGTACTTGATCAGTCATGGAGACGTGTCACAAAAGATACCGGACAGGGACAATGCACTTCCTACTTAAATAATGCTTGTTATTATTATAATTTGCTGTTTTTAAAAAGGTAAATGCAGAAGTTTGCGTTGTGTCAATTTCCCTCTACATAAAAATTATATAAGGAAATAACCATGGTGGTCACCGCCTGGATCCAGCGGGTTTTTAGATGGAATGACCGTGGGCTTTTGTCAGGTAAAATCCACAAAATAGAATACAATTCCTTAATCCGGGCTGATCTAATGTTTCTTCCAGATGCCCTATGGAAATAAAGCTCCTCCTGTGTAGGAAGAAAAAGAGTCTTGGTGGCAATGGAGGAGTGTGGCAGGCTTCTGTTGGAGAAAAACCATGAGGGAGGAGCAGGTTTACTGGAAACCACTGCGGCAGCTGCCAGCCTCCTGCTCGGGACCTGAGCTTAACCCTGGTCTGGCCACGGGGGCGGGGCAGCTCCAATGTTCCCTGGCATTCACATTTTGTACCTCTATAAAATATATAGTCAAGGAAACTTGAGACTCAAAGATTACACTGGAGTGTGCAATCGACATTTTTGAGTTTTAATGTAGCTGTAAAAGTACATCGAGTGCTGCCACCTATTCATGTGCCCCTATCTATTTTGGGTTTGGCATAAGGAAACATTCAGTGTGGAACTTGAAGGAGTACATTCAGGTTAAAAACAGTTTGCAGAAGTACAACTCTTGAATGAAATGTGAAATATAAGTCATAAAATACCTGTGAATTTGAAGCGAGTCTGCCACATCACTGCAGCCCTCTCCTGGTGCAGAGTTCTCTGCTTTGTTTGAGCTTGAAGCACAGTTTGAGGCCGTGGGGACCAGGTGCCAATGGCCCACCGCCAACGCCAATGTGGAGGCCGGCATGGGCATAGTCACATAATAAAACCAGATTAGGAAGCCTGCAGAGACCAGAACAATGCAACGAAGAAGCAGACAAAAACCGCTGAGTCTAATGTACTGAAGAAAAGAAAAACCTTGTGTGCAGAACATTACCTGCAATTATGTAAATACAAGATAACTACAATGCAGTATTGAGGAAGATTCAACACTGAAAAGGAGCAGGTCAAGTCAGATCAAAAAAAGAATCAACCTTTGAAGGACTAGGATACATTGAGTTTAGATGTGTTGCTGGCGGATTAAGTACTTAACAGAAAAACTATTTGAAAGGTAAGGTAAATGAAATTGATTGAGACTTTGAACATGACGTTATCTCTAAACCTACTGCCTTCTAACATGCTCAGAAACATGCTAAGCTTGTACAAACACAAAATTGTATGTAAAACTATCTGTTGTTGGAACATGTATATATGTATAGATTTGTTTGCCGCCCCGGACCTGTGTTAAACAATACCCCAACTCATTTGCATCTTAATTTGTGTCTTTGTCACTGACCCTTATTCAAAACTGGCTCTGAGAAACAATCCATCTTTTCTTCTTGGTCCCTCACCTGAACTAGACTCCTGCCTTGGCACCGCCTGCTCCTCTCCACTCATCAGAACCACACACTCAGCAGGGGCCCTCAAAACAGCCTGCCACGTCGACATGGCAACAGGAGGCTCCATGCACGGGAACAATGCACGGTTGTTGATGGGAGAACCAGCGGTGTACACACACGACCTGGGAGGGTAAACAAAGGTGAAGCTACAATCACGACTCAAGAAGCTTCAAACAAAACGCACATTAAAACAACAGTACGACCGCCTCAGGTCTGTTTATGGGGATTAATTACAGATCCTCATTATTATCTATGCTGCAGCAGAGACGTGGTGATCTGTAAGACTTAAAAGTCTCGTACGTATAATCTTAATGTCAAATTGTCTAATAGTGATGCCAGACCAAGTATTTTAGTTTAGATGTACTACGGCTGAGTAGTCAGAGACAGAGAGTCCCAATGTTCTGCTGTCCTCTTGTGCAGAGCCACACCATGTATTGGCCACGAGCTCCAGGAGGGAATCTCTCATGGTTATTTATTAAGATATGATAACTCTTAATTATCTTGCTCAGGAAAACATGTGTCTAAGGACAGGGGTTTTCGATCTGTAAAACAGAGAACACCAATACATTTACATTCACCATTAAGAGACCAAAAATAAGTGCACCATCTGAGGGCTTCTCAGTCACAACAGAAGACAACACAAGAGAATTAGACCACAGTTTTCTAATGGAGACTTTTCTCCTAAAGTTCTTGTCTCAGCTCTGTCCCTGCAGCAGCCACTGATTCCACCTCAGTGCTACTGGTGCACGCATAGACATGAGGACTATGGAACCGTGAAGTTAAATGCATTCTGCGGACAAAATCCACTCTAAACACCTCTCTGCTCTAACAATAATTCCTCTGCTAGTAATGAGAAACACTGCATGAATCACATGCAGACTGCGAGCCCCAGCTTTACAACTCCTGACTTTTAGTATATTTTGTTGACAAAAGGTTTAATTCAATTTGTTCAAAATCATTGGACTTTCATTTGGTTTTTCAATAGCCCCTGCACCAATTGTGAATTAATCATAAATCAGAGTTGAATTCTAGATGCTCTTGTTCCTTGTTCTACAGTACTACTAACTGTGCGTATTTTACAAGATACATTGATCCAGGCACAACTTCACCTGAGATCCTGATCTTGAGTCCACCTCAAAGAGCCCCCTGTTGGTGTGGTCTCATAGAAGATCCTCAGAACTTGTGGAAAATTATGTGGTGACCGAACTCCTCTTTTTCGCACCTTGGAGAAAAAAAATACATTAACTATGCTAACTTTCCTTTGCATGAAAACAAACACTTTTCTTGTCATTTATGAAGAAAGGATAAAAACAATCTGAGGCACTCATGAGAGTAAAATATATATCTGTGCCCAAAATTCATTACAAAATATGTTTATGTTTCTTCATAAGTTTCCAGTGTTGTTGCCACTGCTGATCCTGCCGAGCACCTGATAAAGTTATACCCACTGCAACACTAGTCTCCCTTGAACTTTTCTTGTCATGATTATTTTGAAATGGCTAACTTAATTGATGACGAAAAGCAATGAGAGCACTCTTTGAATTGCTTATGCACATTTAGTTTTCCCTTGCTGATGTGGGAGGGTCTAAGGACAGTGGTGACAATCCAGGACACTCCACGTTCAACATTTGTGGACTTTATCAACATTAATGGACATTGGTCCCCTGCCCCTTATGGACCGACGACTATACATTTTTTATCATTGCATTTTTTTTTTGAACCGCGATTGATTCTCTGATCCGTTGTTGAGAATTTGACGGTTTTGTAAAGTCCTCCTAGATCAGGGGTCGGCAACCCGCGGCTCCGGAGCCGCATGCGGCTCTTGAGTGCTCCTGGAGTGGCTCCTGGAGCCTTTTCAAAAATGTCTGAAAATGGAGTGTGAGGGCTATATTTTATTTCTAGTTTGAATGTGGTTTCTGTAGAAGGAAAAACAATCTTTACGTTTTTAAATGCTGTAAAAATATGTATAAGTAATATCTAATTTCAACATTTCTGTCAACGTAGTGAGTCATATCCTATGACGCGCGGTCACGCGGCCCCGCCCCATGCGGCCGCTGCTGTAAACAAACCGGCGTGTGTGCATCATAGACTGTAAGTGCACATGGATCCCAAAGCTAAAACGAGAAAGAGTCGATAACAAGACTGGACTAAGAATGAGAATGAACATTTTCTTTCAGTCAATGAGGAAGGACTGCTTCATGTTTGTAACGAAAAGTTTTGTTGCAACACGAGGAACGATGACGCGCAAAACACCGTACACGGTGATTACGTGAAGGATTCATTCATCAAAAATTCAGAGCACCTATTTTCAGACTTCAAAACCTTCTCAAAGACGGTGAAAGAAAAGGCCATTAAGGATTTTAATTCAGCTCCAGCAAACTTCAGCCTGTGACGTGATGGATATGAGCAGACAGTGATGCAGGTATGTGACCTCTGAGCCCAAAGCAGATTGATTTACTGTATTTCTACAATTGCACGAAGGCAAAAAAATGGAAGTTAAACTAAAGCAGAGTTGTCCCGTGTTGCGTCATTCACCACACGCGTGGTGCGACACGCTGCAGTGAAAATACACATTTGATAATCATGAATGATTATTATGTATTTGTAGCCTTTACTTTGTCATTTAGATATTAGGCTAATATAGCTAATACATCTTGCAGCCTGTGTTACCTTCATAAAAGCCTTATACAAGGCTGTTACTTTTTTGCGGCTCCAGACAGATGTTGTTTTTAGTTTTTTTGTCAATTATGGCTCTTTGAACATTTTGGGTTCCCGACCCCTGTCCTAGATAAAGACTGCTGTGATTTACGGCTATAGAAAAAATACATTGAATTTAATTGACTTGTCTTTACCTGTAAACTCCATCGGTCAGTGAAAAACCGTAGCTGCTCTTGGTCTTGCACACTGGGGGCCGAGCTGCACTGCGAGTAGAGCTGGTGCTGCAATTTCCAGCGCTCGGAAGGCAGGGACATGATTGTCTGTGCGAGAGTGGACCCAGGCCTGTGAAGTGTGACCTCATCTGTCCGCGCTGAGCAGCCAGGCCACCCCGACACGGAGGTTATGTCCACTTCCTCCACCTTTGACACGGACAGGTCGCAGCAATCCAGCACCAAGGTGAAATCTTCCCCGCCACCGCTGCTTTCCCACGAGTGTGAAGAGGCTGCAACAAGAACCAAAGACTAAAGCAAAAGCACTCATACAACTTTTGCACATGTTGTCATTTATAGACCAGCAAACAGCAGCAAATTATACACAACTGTGAAGTGAAAGGAAAAATATGTGTCAGGCCTGCAAAAGTATTTATACAGCATTACATTGACTTTGAAACACACACGCATTATTCTCCAAGTATTAAATAGTGCCCAACTGTAATCTACTCTCAGTATAATTACAGCAGTTTGGTGATGGCATCAGAGCTATGTTTGTATGCTACGAGTGTTTTGTTCACTAAACAACATCATGAAGTACACTGAGCACACTAGATAGATCATGGATAATGTTTAAAGCAGCATTAGGTTACACAAAGATTTATCAAGTTTTGAACATCTTAGAGAGCCATGTTTAATCCATCATTCAGAAATGGAAAGAACATGGCACCACTGCTAACTTCCCAAAACACAGTACAAGATGACCAAGAAGAGCACTGAATCCAACCCCAGATATGTCTCTGTAGGAGCTAGGGGAATCTGTATCTAAGATAAGATAAAATATGGTTTTTTTGTCCACCATGGGGCAAATATTACTACACTAATACACTACACCAGTGTCTCCCAAAGTGGGGTCCGCGGCCCCCTGGTGGGCCGCGAGGGTACTGCAGGGGGGCCGCGGGAGGTCGTAAAAAAAAAAAATATATATATATATATATAATTATTTAATGTTAAATTTATAATGTTTTGTTTGTAATATTAAAATATTTGTGTTCATTCTTTGACTTGAATAATCCACTGTAATCATTTTTGTATTACAATGTTTGTAGCAGAGGCTACTTCCCCAAAATAAAATAACCAGAAGAGCCTATTCTTAATGTTGTCTTCTTGGTTATTATTTTGGGGGGCCACGCAGACCCGTCAGATTTTTAAGGGGGCCTCGGTGTTACTGAGTTTGGGAATGGCTGCACTACACTAATCTGGCCTGTATGGACGAGAAGTACTGTAAATATAAAGCCATTGTTGAACTAAAATCGTAGAAACCAAGTGGGGAACACATTGGAAAGAAGAACTCATCACTTGCAGTTCACCATTCTCAGTATTAAATATGGGGGTGGTAGAACCCTGTTAGTGGTGTGCTTTTCTTCAGCAGGGACAGGGAAGCGTCAGAGTAATAGAGTGTAGGCGTGGACTAGCCATGCTGGCATCACCACATAGACTTTGAGTTATTGCGTAGGAACAGGATTAGAGCCAACACAAAGAGGCAAGAGCGGGAATATGGAGCCACATTCATGGGTAGCAACGAAATGGCAACCAATGAGCTAATCAGGATTGGTGCAAGTCTGTTTCTGCTTGCACTACTTGCTGGTTAAAGCCAGATTTGGGGAGAAAAAGCAGGTGATTGGTCAATGGTTTGGTCCCATATATGGATAAATCAGGATACTTTATTCTAAAAAGTTTGCAAGCCACAGCAACACCCATTGTGACTTAAAGCTAAAAAGAAAAAAAGGTTCAAGTTGTTTATGTCAGTAATAACCAAGGGTTGTTCCACCTGGCATCCAAGAGCATGACTTGTACCTGGCAGCTGGTCTCAGTTTACTTCACAGGAAACAGGTGTAGTTTAGTTCATTATTCCTCAGTTAAAAGAAAAAAATGGAAACACCCATTTAGCTCTCCATGCCTCTTCCATTTCCAATAACTAATGAAGCTAATAAATTATGGAGTTGAAGGGAAGCTTTGAGAATAAGATGTAAACTTACCTTTTTTACTGGAAGCTCTGGGCTTCTCCACATCTTTAGCTGAAGCTATTCCTCTTTGGTCGTCAGCCTCCACTAAAGCTCCAGCCTCAGTGCCATTCGGCTCCAGAAATAGCACCACATTCCCACTGATCACTCTCCTGTCAAGGTGAACCGTCAGGTCCAGAACATAGTGCCTGACAAGGATGTGTTCAATGTTTGCTCTGAGAGGGAGGTCATCAGTGTCCGGGTCCAGCTCAGCATCAGCATCTGTCTCCATGTTTAACTAAAGATCGTCTCATCACTAAACACACAGACACAAAAGTACATGACACACTTTTTCATTGCTAAATCCTCACACACTTGCCGTTCTCAAAACCTACAAAAAATAATTAAATAAATGTAATCTCGGGTGAGTAATAGAAAGTCAGTTTCGACAGCTCAATAACAGTTGTGCGCGAGACAAGCTGAACGCACGTGGATGATTGAAAAAAGCTTATTGACTTCACGGAAATGGAAGCGCATTGTCCATTAACTTGACTTAACTCTAAAAAACTTGTCGACCTCGACCTATCCATAAATACAAGTGTCTTATGCGTCATGTGTAATGTCTCCAGTCAACATACCGCTGGGATGGAAACTGAACGGAGCGCTGCTTTCCTCCCATCTTCCTCCACTTTGATAGTGGCCATGAGTGATGACGTATACGTAAAGCGACAGTGGACTGTTTTGTAGTTTTTACGTACTGTCTTCATTTAATTTGTAGTTTTCACGTACTGCCTTCATTTAATTTGTAGTTTTCAAAGTGTTTTCCACAGTTAATAGGGAACGGAGCAAAAATATTGCAATTCAAATGTTATTCCTCACTTGTCATCATGGAGAGCTTAGCAAAAAATAGTAGGCAAGTAGGCAGTTAGGTAAGCCGATATACACATGACAAGGCCATAGATCTGTGAATAAATTAAAATTTATTTAGCTGCTTTGATCACTGTACAGATATGTTAAAAAAAAAAAACATTTAAAACAACATCGACCTATAAACTGATGGGTAAGAACAATACAGTCTATGATGCAAACATAAAACACGAATCCAGTGGTTGAGTGCCAGCAGTTCATTTGCACATAATGCAGCTACGTTACATTTTGTGTGCTGTACAACTTGTTTCAATTGGAAAAAAACATGTAATACTCAAGAGTCTTTAATAACACGTAACACTGTACTTTGTTGTACCTGGAAGCACAAGTAGGACGATCAAGCATCAATGATTTGAGACCTATTACACGTAATACATTGTTAACATGTGATCATATTGCAGAATTACTCGAACAAGTATAAACAAAAACAATATTAATTGATATAACTCTATTCATTATTAAAGGATATGTTGGCACTGGTGTCCTTGAATTTCACGTACAAAAGCAAGGACATAACTGGATTTATTGCTATTCTTTTATACGCAAACATAGGCTGAAATAAAATTGTTCCATAAATCTTTGTAAGCAAACTATTTTCTCTGTACAAAACATGATAATAGGGTTTAGCCTGACATTTCTAGTCAACAGAAAAGTCTTAATCCACAATTGTATTCGGCAACACACAGTTTTAGACCCGGCCAAAGTAAAATGAATGGGAATGGTGCTAACATTTGACACAGAAAATTTGTTTTTCAGTTCCCCACTTCTGCTTCTGCTCTCCCTTGTATACATTATGTTCAAATGCCCAGAGTTGAATGTCCAGAGGCACACGGCATAGCAACATCGTCTATCATCTCTGAATACAAAGTGATAACACCAAAATATTCTCTTATTCTTGTGAAGTGAATACATTGTTACAAAAAAAGACCCTTACGGCCCAGGAATAGGCTTGACGTGTTTATATGAACCAACAGGAAAAAATTGCAGCAATACACTGGTCAGATTGTCCTAATCTGATACAGCATTTCACAATTAGGCTGTGGATAAGTTGCTTCACAATATATGCCATTCTTTCTAACCAAGGGCCTATGTGCAACTCACTGCATAAGATAGTAATACCAAGTTTAAAACAAAATAATCATACATTGAACCGTATTATATAAGGAACAAAGTGGTACTTTTATGTATTGTTTCTACTCAACTGTTCTTCAGCAACTTGTAGCTTGTGAGATTATTACTTTATTATTGAGGACATGATTGTGAGTCCACCAATATGGAGGCTGTATTCAATATGCAGACAAATATCATAAGCTCGTTTCATCTCCACGTTTCTTTTCTGTTCCTTTCTCTGCAGTGAGACAGCCTCTTCAGAGTGATGTGGAAGAGCCGCGCGTCTCACAAGTTTTCTTCAGCAGCCCGGCGGAAACTCAGGCGTTTGAAGGATTCCCTTTGTGTCAGAGGACAGGAGATTGGAAAGGAGGGAAAGGGGATGATAGAGATATGCAACAAGTAATGGGAGAAGAAGACACACAGGTGGAGAAAGGAAGACAAGGATGTTAGAGCTCTTATTAAGACAAGGGACATGGCATTTCTAGAATTATACACATTGAATATATATAATAACTGGGACCTTAAGATTAACCACAATCCAAACAAAATCACAATGTTTCTGGTCGCAATTAGCACATTTTAAAGACTTGTTAAAAAGTTCTTTACAAACAAAAAGATGATGCAGCCATAGTAGCAACTAGTTAGAAAAAACTAAAATTCTTACTTTTAAATTGTACTGTGTAATTGTATTTTATTATGGACTGCTAAAGTTCCATTGACATTAATTTAAATCCCCCATAGGAATTAGAATAATAATGATTATAGTCAGCTTGTGAGTAATGACCACAAGATCTAAATTAACATATAAAGTATATTTTTCAAATTTTAATTGTGCCTTATTTTACATTTGAATTGTGCTTTCCTTGCTCAAAAACCTGCTCTGTGAATAGTAGTAACCAGGTAGCTAGTTAGTATCGGTCTTCAAACTAATGACATTAGGATTGTTATTCGAAACACCAATGGGGATTTTGAATGGGAAATGTGAATTCCGTAAGCTGAGTGGACTTCCCTGCTCCATAACGCCATGATAACTTCAGTTGGGCTCAAAAGTGAAATTCTTCATAATCAAAGACAAATTATGTTTTCTCTTCTGCAATATTACTACAACTACTGTGTTTGATTAAATAGTCACTTGGTTAAAATGCTTGCAAAATACAACAACAACAAAAACTTTTATTTATTTATTGTGGTCATTGCTGTTTTGCTTCAGCCATCGATATTTGCAAAGGTGACATGGCCGTCGGTGAATCAATTTGTTCTCACATTGGGCTGGTGTTAGAATCATAGCGGTGATGGAAAGATCAATGCTGTGTGTTTTCCCAGCCCTGGTCAGATACTATTGGCTGTTTGCCTGGTGTTTACCTGTTTTCGAGCCGCGGCCGGATGATAGGTTTATACAGCTCAGGAATCTTCCTCTCCAGCATTGGCCTCAGGTTTTCTCTCAGGCGATTGTAGTTCTTTTTCAGTTCTTGTTGGTACTCTTTCTGGTCGGAGGTGATTAAGTGCTTATTCTTCTCCACTGCCTCCCCACACCTACAGGTAACACAAAGCAGAAGGGTTTGCCCGCTTTTACTTAACTACATTTACAAAATAATTATATGAGTTAATTCAAATGGTATTTTTCATAATCAGTTCAGTTCATACGGTTTTATTTGAGCTGTTTATGCATCATTCATTTATCCCTCATAAGAAACTTCTTCAGCCATAGCTGCCTTGAGGAAGACACTCAAATATACATCACACTAACTCCATACACAATAGTGGTAAACTAATGCCAGGGTAGCTCCAGCTGATTGTTTGTGTCAGCCGGACACAACCATAACTGATGATAATTTAGTATCGATCCGCCGCAATGTTACTTTTTATTTACCATGGGCAGCTGTGACACTCATCTGCTGGTGCTTGTGCATCAGTCACGACTCACACTCAGTTCTCATTCCACAGTATGCGAAGCAATACTGTGGAATGAGACAGTGTCTGTGTCTTTTGATGAGGAGGAAGACGCAACGTCCTTTAGCACAGACACTGAGGTACTCGAGTATATGAGATCAGGCTCAGAGTTAGAGGTCCTAAAGCAACTCCCCCGAGTGAGAGCTGTTCATGAAATACAATAACCCAATGATACTGTCATGTACAGTATAATTGGGTTGTTGTATTTCAGTGGCATTTTTGAAAGAAATATCTGTTATGATCTTCATAGTAGATCTTCTGGACAACAGATTTAAGAATTCTGCTCAAAGTGAAAAATAACAGTAACACAAGAGTAACGTAAAAATGTGGTTGGTGTTTTGCCTAAGGACTAACATTTTCTTCACAAAAAATCAATCTTTTATTCTAGTTCCTAGTCAGAAAAAAATTAAAGTTCCCTCCGAGTGGCGCAGCCCTCCGTTATCGATGTGTTTTCTAACTCCTCTACCTCAGTTTAAAAAAGCTTTTGTACACCATCTCCAGAAAAATGTAATTGTTTTTGTTCATAAAAAATGAAACATAAATGTATTAATCTGTTACCTATAATAGTACTTAAGTACTTTTGTCCTTGTGCATTAAAATATGTTTTCATTACTGAGGTTGACGTGCAACGTACAATAGACAAAACACAAACTCTAGAAGAATATTGGCAAAATCTTAATGTAATTACAGAAGCCAAATGTCACTTCCACTTTAATTGATCGGAGAATTGTCAGTGAGTATGGGGTCTTCTTACAGATGACTGAGTGTGATCACATTATAATGGGAAACGTCCAGACTGCAGGAAATCCAAGAGACGAGGATGATTGCTAACACATGTCGCAGTTTATGTCACCGGCTTTTTGTGGGCATAAAATGGAAATGTCTGGAAACACTAAGTACAAGGTAGAGAAGCATTAGGACAAAAAGTGTCATGTGGAAAATACTTAAAAGTATGTTATACATGTGTAGTTATGAAACAGGACAAAGTCACAGTGAGTGGATTATGCTGCAATAGAATTATGATCAGTGACGGGCAATATCTGTGTTATGTCCTCTGGAAGGACAACCTGTTAAAACTCTAAAAGTAGTATAGTACTACTATTACTACTACTACTGATATTTATTTTTTCAAAAGGTGAACGACGCTTATTAAGATCCAACCCCTCTCACTCACACAACCAACACACTCACTCCGATAAGACATACTGTAGGTCCAAACCACTTTGACTCAACAGCACTACCCTCTTGCTCTGTGCTCTACTTTTTATGAACACTTGTTAAATGTAATCAGAATCAATTCAGAGTCTACAGCATCACATGTGATGCCGGTGTCCAAAGTGAGTTCAGTCTTAACCGGAAGATTTGGGGAAATGGGTGGAGTCTGCTCTGCTCCTCCTGGGTCTGAGAGAAAACCTGCAGCCACTGCAGCCCTTTCTGGAAAGGTTTGGATACAGACATGACATGTGATGCTGTAGACTCTGAAGGGCTACGCTACATTACAGTATGTGCTGCATGGTGTCACATGTTCCCAGCTGCACATAGCATGCAATTATTAGAATAGAATGGTGTTGATATTTGGGTGGTGGTCACAATGTAGTCACAATAAATATAAATGTAAATTAATAAAAGAGAAAAAAGGCAAAAAACCTGTGCGAATGAGTTTGAGTTTTATATATTGAGGTTTTTAAAAGTTTTAAATCTAACATTTAGTTAATGTTTTTTTGTTTCTGCATTATTTTTTCACCTTATACGTTTTATAATGTTTGTAAATGTTAATGATTTTATGTCTTTGTAAAGCACTTTGGGTTGCCCTGCATGAGTTGTGCATTATAAGTAGACTTGATTGATTGATTGAGATACACATTCATCATTTATCTTTTTTTTTTGTATGTATTTATTGAAATTTTACAGTTTTTAATCTAAAGTAGATTTTAATCTAGAAACATATGCAATAACATTATGGGCAAAAATAATTCTGTTTGGGGGTTGTGTAAACTGAGTAAGTAGATAGACATATAGCAACATTTGAAAACCCGCTGGGACAATCATTACTGCATGACTAAAAAGCCACCTCTAGAACGATTCATTCAGATAAACATTGGCATTCAATGGGTCTGGCCTCAGTTTGCCATGGATTTAAACTCAAAAACAAACCTATCTGAAATTACAGTAAATATTTGTCAACGTGCTTGTAGCAATCAGCTCTGCCGGAATGTGACATGAGGCTGGGAAAATAAGAACCAGCTTCTGCGGGCAAACATAACCGGCCCATGAGTTGAAAGCACACACAGGCGCTCACAGCTATTACAGAAATCACTATTCCACAAATGGAAAAGACAGGGGCCACTTTTAAATTATGTGATAAATATTAAATTTGCTTTTGGGGGGGAAAAAGCAGTGTTTTTAGGTTTTGTTTTGCTTAGGCTACACTGGGAGTTTGTGTAGTACAACGTTATTGTACTTGTGTTTTGTGAGTGCAATATAAAGCTTTCTTTGCTTTACCAGATACCTATGTTGTCATATAGAAGAATGATACATGGGTCAATGTTGTCAACACACTTTTAATGTAATTGCACATAATATATCTTGCACAAAAGAGGCTATCTTTTCACTTTTTAACATATTTGCATCACCTGTTTGCATCATTCCCTGACTTTTGCACAACCCCAGTGATCCTGTTTATGCCAAATGTGACATGTAAAATCAGTTCTGTTGATCTTATCTTATAAAGTGACATCATGGTGAGACCTGTGCTTAGCTATAGCTTTACATTTTTTCAAATGTACTGACACCCTAATAGGAGTTGTTTGACCAACGCTTGCATTTCTCCTCCCTGTTCCGCAGCCTGGCACTGAGGGAGTGGGTGGGAATAAAGAACAATTGCTCAAATAGTTTTCAGAGCAGAGGAGGTTTTCTAAAGATGTGAAGTGACAAAGCCTTAGGATTCTGTAATGTGTATGCAATTACTGGCATTAGTGTGGGAGGAAGAAAGAGTGTCCAGGACTCTAAAAATACAGCATTCCAAAATCATGGCTTTTCAAACATGTTGAAACATATGTATTTGAGAGCTTAATAGCACTCAGTTATCTCTTTCTTAGCATAAAAGCAAGGATTGTCTAATGGGTGTCTATGGAGTTATTAGATTTGGTTAGTTTCTTGGCCTCACTATATTCTACTCGACACTAGGCACATCACCTTAACCCAGCTTTCATTTCTATTACAACTGTGGTGTGGTGTTGTGTAGTTATGGGAAAATCCAAGGGGGGAACACCAATAGTAATTCTGTTTGGTCTCAAGAGGTTTCAGAAGGACAAACACCAATACACACAGCTCAAAAACCACTCTTTACTTACCGACACAGGATCGGATGCTGTTAGCTGCTCTAAGATATGTCACATCATATCTTATCCAGAGACAGCTAACAACAACTATACTATACAACTAACTCTGCCGTCATTCCTAAAACCAAGACATTCACCTATCAACCCAGTATTAAGAGATGTTGGATAATCTTTCTCCAGTTAAAGATAGGTTTTAATTAATACATTCTGATGCAGTCGCATGTGGGGGCGAGAGGGCTGATTTGATCAAAACCTACCTCATTATGAACTCTTTGAAACACAGACGGAGCTTGTTGTGGTGACGGAACAGCTTGGGGTCAGCTGGGATTTCATTCAGGAAGACTTGGGCCACCTCCAACGGGCCCTATCGAACAATGGGACAAAGAAAAAAAAAGCTTTTAAACAGAGGAAGGAAGGAAGGAGTGAAGGAGGGGAAGAGGAGAGAAGTGGTTTAGACAGAGGGGTCAGGCCTGCAAACTGAATGTGTAATGCATCTAGGGCCTCAGCAGGAGCACAGGGAAAAGGTCACCAATAATGATTGCACGGTGAGTACAGTTTCATAGATAGTGCCACATGCATACAGAATATGGAAGGCAACACTAGTAAAAAGCAGAGGTGTGCAAACAAATTGAGATTTTAAGTATATCCATCCACATCTTCCGCTTTATCCATTGCCCAGTCTTCAGTAGTCTAAGCCGGGATGTCCACAAGTCTGTCTTTGATATGTTATTATTAGGGCCGGGACTTTAACGCGTTAATTAAGATTAATTAACGCCACAAAAATTAGCGCGTTATAAAAATTGACGCATTTTAATCGCATGTGTTTTTTGGACCGCGGTACTTTCCTCACTGGATGAGTTTCAGACGGACCAATTATACTGGTGCACCAACTCGAGCTCCGTGACTGTCACGGTCAAACGTACATTATTACAAGCATAGAAGACTAACTTAGCGGTGTCTAAATCTAAGTGATTATTATCATTAATAATAATAAATAAAACAATAAGTGAGTTAGAGACATGGAGCGATGGACTGTGTGAGGAGCAGCGAGCGACTCCTTTGTGAGTGGAGAAGGAGGAGGCAGAGGACGAGCAGCGACACAGGTGTGTAAGCTGCCATTGCTGATGTTTTAGTCCGTATGCACACATCAAAAACGTAATATAAAAGCTTTAGCAAACAGCGCATGCCTAGCTTTAGTGCGTATGTTGTGGTCAGTGTGTGTGGAGGCAATGACAGATACGTTATTGGATGGAAAGAAGTCCGTCTGATCATCCACAATGAACATGTGTTGCTTAAGCTCAGTCATTATTCAATGGTAAACTAAAATCCATGTGAAAGAAAATTTCTTATCACTGTTCTCAAGACAAATATTTATTTGCAATTAAAATGCAATTAATCTAGATTAATTAATTACAAAGCCTCTAATTAATTAGATTTTTTTTTTAAATCGAGTTACGGCCCTAGTTATTATCTTTAGGGAGACTTTGTACACCCCAGGGACTGCAGATGAAACATTCTGTTGCATGCACTGAAATGTTCATCAATGCAAAGTGTCCCTGTCACATAAACTAATAAAATACAGTTTTATGTTAAAAAAAACAATAATGGAAATAATACCTTAAAAAAATTACGAGAAAATATGTAAGACCTGGATTCAAGAGCTCATCTAGCAATTCTGCTACTTTGGCATCTTAGAGTGAAACAATAAAGTACTAACACAAAATCCCATCAGATTGTGAAATTGATTTTTGTCATATTGCACCTTTGAAACAATAATCTTCCAATATTGTTGTTGTGAAAGCAGTGACATTGTTTGGCAGCTCAGCAACATTTGAAGTTGTCCACACTAGTCTATTTTGAATGTGAAACCGATGTTATTTGACAAATTCAGCTTGAATCTGGTGTTTTCTACAATTTAATTACCTTGTCTAACTGTGAAAATGCTTCTTGTTACAGCGGAAGCTCATATCCAATGCGACTGCGGCCTCAGATGAACACGAGGAAGAAATCAGATGTCTGCTCCCCTCCTCTCGCATGGCTAATGTCACCACTGGCCCGGCGTACAGGCTGCATTTGGCTTCCATTTGCACAGTATGAAATCTTGTTATCCTAACTTATATCCATCATAAAACCACAACACGCTCTGAACCGTGCATGCTTTGCGACAGGCGCAGTTAAACAACCCTGATTAGCATCATAAACGCATCGCGCACGCATTGGACGACGTCGCCTCCGCTACCCCTCTGCTCTCGATTACCGCCGGGTTCTATGTTTACAAAGCTGCCTGGCATTAGTGTTGTGTATACAGCGTTGGGCCGGAGCGAAGGACTTGTCAGATTATAGACGTTGGAAGATAAAGCAACGAGGGAGGGATGTACTTGTAGCCCCAACTCATTACAACTCAAATATGGGAACCTGGAAGCTATCAGATCAAAGCGACCTCTGGTTTAGCATTGCACGTGCAGACATGAAAGGGAAGAAGAGGCTAGGAATTGACGTTTTAACTAAATCTGGGGAAAAGCAAAGGAAGGATTATGGTTTATGGATGGGATACAGGCTTTTGAAGTGTGATCGCTGTCATGGATGCGACTACAATGGAAACCTAACACGCAATAAGATAAACACAGGTGAACTATTCCGGAGGCTTCCAGCTCGGGAAATGGGCCTTACTGCAAAGTGCAGTGATTTTAGCAGAGCACTCATCGTCTGTCGTCTGGAGTAGACGGTTATTGCTGCTTCAATGTGGGTGGGTATTTGCAGTGTCTGGTATTAAACTATATAAGCACTGATATGAAGGTTATGTTGATTGATTGAATAAATGAGGGGTGGTTTAATATCAAACCTGTCAAGAAATGTGATGTGTATGGGACCCTGGATATCTTTGACAAGCATTGAAATGGTCTTAAATCTAGATATTTTTTTACACAAATTATTATAGAAATTATACTGATATTTAGGTGTCTGTGCTTATTTCCTATCTCAGGTAAATGTCTGCTTTACCCCATGATGTTCTACCCTTTCTTAAATCTGGGGGGACCTAACTCTTTCAGCATGAAAAAATTAAACAATGTTCTGCCTTTCAAAACAAAAGTATACTCCCTCCAAAGTAGTTTTTTTCAGACATAACTATGCAAAACATTCTACATTCTAGTTGTCAAATGCATGTACTTTGGTCTTTGTCAAATGGTTTTCAGACTGAAAAGTGAAAAAGAGAAGACCGCCTACACTCAGTCAATCAGCTCACAGCCCAAAGCATCAAATAGTGGCTCTCAAGGCTCTTTCTTACTGGTATGCCAAAGATTTAATGTTTTGTGTTAAGATAAAGGCAGCATGTTGTGGTCTGCAAGCCTCTTTCTATTGGGACAAAGCAAAATTTCTTATTTATAAGTCGTTTTGAGGGTTAGGTCAACTAGCTTTAACAAAAACATAATAAAAGGAATTATCATAGAAAAATACCTCCTACAAAACTGTTGCATCCATAGTTTGAGCTCCATTGAAACATAATTGTTATTTATTGTTTACCTGGTTGACCGTGGCCCCCACTGAGCCCTGCAGCACCATCTGTAACATCTTAGCATCCGGCTGCTCTCTGTGTGTAGCCACTGCCAACTCTCTGGTCTTCTTCTGCATGTCCTCTATGGCCACTTCGATTGGGGTCAGGTCAAACTACAACAGACATTGTATTAAACATTTTGGGAGTCTGACAAAATAAAGTCTTCGATAACATCATTGGATAATTACATGGACTGTATGTATTAGATTCAGATTCAGATTCATTTATTTGCCATTTGCAGTAAAACCACATAGGAAAAACTGTGCAAGACTACCCCGGTGTGCACCAGACAGAGAAGACGACACACACCAGAGCTCTTGCCACGGCGCCATCTTTACGGCGCCATTTTTATTATTACGAGTCTTGATATTCCCATATGGTTAAATATTGATACAAAATCACCCACTAACTGTCAGTATATGGCTATAACAGCCAAAATTGCCGATTCTTTCAATTGAAAAGGATACAAGTCACTCTCAAAATGTATTTTCAACAAATGCAAATCTATAAAGAAGTATTGGCAATAATATGTATCAGCTAGTGGAGATTATTCCTTCAAAAATAATAATGAGTTTTATTCTTAATGTATCGCTTATGGAGAATGCATGAGTTGATTATAAAAAAATAAGAAATAGTATTCTCTTGTTTGAGTATGTGTTTGGCAACTGATCTCCAAATATTCTTGATCATATGCAGTAAACCATATAGTCAGCCATAAACAGTAGTTAAGTCTAAGTCAATCCCAGAGTAATTAAGACTTTTAAAACACCATATTTCGTCGTAGAAGTGTACCTCTTCTTTCTGGATGACGTTGAGGCGTGTCTTGACATAGGGGAAGGCGTGCATAGTGGTCAGAATAGTTTTTCTTTTGTATTGCTCGTTGAGTTCCCCGCGCGGCCGGCCGCTCTTTGTGAACGGTGTCGTGTACATGAAGCGTCGTAAGTTGAAGTTTTTCTCAAAGTTTGTCATTCGGTCTTTCATTTCGTAGTCATCAAAAAAGGGCTCCACATACGTGATTTGAATGTATGCCTGTGGAATTAGATTGGATTAGATTAGATTCAACTTTATTCTCATTACAAAGTCAGAACAATACAACAAAATGCAGTTTAGCATCCAAACCAGTAGCCAGTGCAAACGTGCAAGTGTAAGATAATATTTATAGCACAGATAAATATGATTGTATATTGAGACACAGAGAGACTGTGCAAAGCTGCTATTGGATAAATACAGGATGAATTGAGTCAGCAAAGGATACTAGAACTTTACAGCAATAACCAATGCTTCCTTCTAAATGTATTGACTAATTATACTAAATATACAGAGCCATTCCTCCAACAAGCGGTGATGTTATTTTCTAGGGGCACTCTCTTCAGTCATAAACGTATTTTGGCTACATGACAAAAATCATTTCACTAGTACAGGTCAACTAGAATATATATAGTTTGTGATGAATTGCATTTTCAACTTTATTTGACAATATAATCATTACCAGGACCTAAAATGAATGATGTTATTGCCTGCACAAGTTGATTACAGTGTATGAACGACAAAGTAAACACTGATATTTACAAATGTGAGTGCAATTTTCCTACCAGTGAGTAATATCCCAAAGAGGTCACTTGTAATCACCATGAAGTCTTATACATAATATACATAATACAGTGGATGCATTTATTATTAAAGCAACAACAACTATTTAATGTGATTTAGTGGGTTGTTATTTACCGACTTCATCACATTCTTACCTTGTTGGGATTTAGCTGCGATTGATCCACCGGTGACGAGTCTTTGATCATGACCAAAGTGTCATCTCCAAAACACTGGCTGTAGAAATTCTGAGACATAAAAAAATAGAGAGAATAATGCGTTATGGTTTCCAATGTTAGTATGCATTGCATGAACTGAATGCATCACTTCCTACTGATGGAGCTTTTGAATTAAACATGGCACAGTTTAAAAGCTTTGGAAGTTCAAAGCCCCACTTTTAGAGTCGCTAGTTGGTTTGATGTTACTGAAGGCAGATGTTCTCCCTGATTTGCTCCTCTTCTTGGCCCATGTGTCTCCGACTGAGATGGATGAGCTACGGCTACTGTGAGCAACTCTGTGATGTAGAATTGATTTGGATGTTTTGTATAAATATATATTGCCTGTTCTTACATCTGTCTGTCTGTTTTCCATGTCTCTATGTTAAGATACCAAGTCTACAAGCCATCCCAAAGAAACCCTACCCATTTACCCACCTAGCATTCTCCTATGTGATGAATTTGTAAATATTGTTCATGTCTTTAAAGTGTTTTAATTAAGTTTTGATAATTGGGAAAAAAAAGAAAAACAAAAAGAAAAGTCAATGGGCCTCATTCACGAACGGTTCTTAGGAACAGATTTGTACGTAAATCCTACTTACGCGGTTTTTACGAAGAAAGTGGCATTCACGAATATTTCTCGTAACCAGAATTTCTCTTGGGCAAGTACAAATCCTACGAGTCCTCAGGAGCACTCGTACGCATTCAGTGCCGACATGTTCACACGCCGGGGTTGTCCTCTTTGGTGAAGTTGAATAAAAATACAACATTCCAGTGATATGTCCGTCATATCGATGTATGTATTTATTTATTTGTAGTAATCTTTATTAGTAATCTTCATTTATATACCGCCTTTTTCACTGCAGATCTGGCCTACTTTTTAATTCATTTTGAAATGAAATGTGCCAACGCTTTATCAAATACATTGGAAATCTTGCCGTGTATTAGTGACCCCTTCCTATTTATAGGGGGCATTTCTTTATCCACGGGCCACAGAACAACGGCATATACTGCTGCTGCAGGAGGTTACTGGGTCCGCGCTGAGTCTCTGCGCTGGTCTCTCCTATGGATCTATACAGGTCTGCACTGGTCTCTCCCATATACGGGTCTGCACTGGTCTCTCCCATGGATCTATACTGGTCTGCACTGGTCTCTCCCATGGATCTAGACAGGTCTGCACTGGTCTCTCCCATGGATCTATACGGGTCTGCACTGGTCTCTCCCATATACGGATCTGCACTGGTCTCTCTCCATACGGGTCCGTGCTGCATGCTCCTGGATCCATACGGGTCCGCGCTGGTCTCTCAAGTCTGGTCTATGCGGTCTATCTTCGGTCCGCGCTGGTCTCTGCGCACCGGTCTCTCCAGTCAGGTCACTCCAGTCTATGCGGTCTCTCCTATAGGTCCGCGCTGGTTTCTGTGTGCTGGTCACTCCAGTCTCTCCTCGGGTCTGCATTGGTCTCAGCGCTGGTCCGCGCTGGATCCCCTCCCAGGGTCCAAAATATTTTGAGATTAATCTCAAAACATTTTGAGATTAATCTCATCATATTCTTAGATTAATCTCATAATTTTGCTAGTTCGACTTTATTATCATAATATTTCGACTTTTAAGTCAACATTTTATAACTTTATTCTCAGTCTGGTAAAAGAAGAAAAAAGGGTGACTCTTTTGCTCCGTGTAACTCTTTGCTTTAGGCCTGTTGCTGTTTCCTCAGCCGTCTGCACACGGCCCTGCAGTCCCTTATATGGGCATTAATGGGCGGTTACTTATGCTAAGTACCTATGCTAATGAAGCACCTGGCACGCGCGCTGTACTTACGAGGAAATGGGATTCATCAATCTGAGAGAACAGCTGCGAACAATTCAGCGGCTTACGAGTGCGTTGATGAATCCCACGTGGGGACTTCTTAGAAATCTACTTAAGGACAACTTGAGAAGAAAGTTGAGTAGTTTCTTACGAAGTTATTCGTGAATGAGGCCCAATAATCTTAGGGTAATTAGAAAATTATAATATCGTTCAAAAGTGAATTTACTTCAGTGATTCAACTTTCAATGTGAAACTAACATAACAGACTCATTACATGCAGAATCAGATTAATCCAGCGTTTATTTGTAATAATGTCATTGTTGATTATGGCTCACAGCTCAATAAATTATAATATTGAAAATCGACTAAGCCTTCAAAAACTTGACATACGTTAATTTGCATGTAATGAGTCTTTATCATATATTGGTTTTAAATACAGAAATCAATTAAATATCTAAATTTCACCAATAAATTGATTCTATACTTTAAGAAGATTAGTTGTTTGACCCCCAAAAAGTCAGTGAATATGGGAAATATCACATTAACCCAAAACAATGTTCATGTAACGACCCTGGACCCGTCTCTTCATAGAGACGACTACTGACAAATTGAGTTGCTTGATTTAAAATACTTTGTAAACACTTTGTTATTATAGAATTTTCCAAGTCATAAAATCTCTGCGAATGCACGTCTCAGCTAGCACTTAATCAATTAACCTATTACAGCCCAAACATTGACTTCTTGAAAATAATAATAATCATGTTCATTGAACTATATGACAGACACAAAGCAATTCAAACTGAATGTTTTTCTGACCACCTCTTTGTGTTACCTTTTTTGAATTGAATTTAATTAAAAGGAACATTACCTTTGAGAGAGCGGTTTGAAAGCTTAAAGTAAACCTGTTTAAATGACAGAAGAGGAACATACATCTGTAATTCACCAGGTACCGTTGTTTACAGAAGAAACAATACTGTGAATGATTCCAGTCTTGGCTAATTTCAACCGTTCACATTGCGTCTTTGATTCTTGCTGCCTTAGTTTGTGTGGTCTGATGTGGAATGAGAGTTTCTGGATTATTTATTATACAGTGGGTAACAGGCACATTTATCAGGGGTTTGCGTGTGTTCAAAAGTTATTTGCACCATTAACATTGGAGCGAACTGATTAATAATGTGCATCTGGCATGTGCAAAACCCCTGCAGTTTATGTGTGTGTATTATTAGGACATACTTATGAAAAAAAAGGATGTCCCTTGTACTTGTTTTTAGTTAAATCTGTGGGTGTCTACATTATCTCATAAAATCCAAGTAACTAGTGTCTCCCTATCAAAACATTTTGATCCTATCACTAATTTTCACATGGGCACACTTTTTGCCTCTGTCACATCTTTGAATCAGTTTTTTCATACTGAAAAGTTAAAAAGAGAACCACTCTTCTTCAGCTAATCAGTTTTCAGTATGTCAAATATAACATGTTTTCTTAGAAGATTATGTCAGAATGCAAAAAGTGATTAAAAAAGTCAAAAATAGCTCAAATTTGGCTAATTGTATCTTCATTTGAGCACATTTTGACTGCCTTATAACACAATTTGCCAATGATCTTGTTTTAAAATGAGAAAGAATGGACTCCCTTGGAATGAGAAAATAAAGCAGCATTTCTCGAAATAAGACTAAATGGCGTGGTCCCATTGACATGTATTCAAATTAAGATAAAACCACTGGATTCAAGCAATTATAACCTCATATTTTATCATTTGTATTGTGTATAGGGTCTGAACAAATGTATTATTGACACAAAATATTGAGGTGGTCCAGCTTTAAGTCCTTGTTTATAAACCATGATGGAATTGCAATCAAGATCTGTAAATATTGAACAAAGTAGGCCTCAATTAGCAGCCATACAATAACGTTCGCTGCTTACCTCCAATCTGTGCGATATTTCCGGCAAATGTGTGATTGCCGGTTCTTTGTAGATAAATTCTCGTTCATCCAGGTCACCAAACTTAGACCCGTAGAAACCGACTCGAAAATAGGTTCCAAACATCCTTTTATGTCCCTGTGGGGGGAGAGGGGGGAAACCGAGGAGAGAGTTTGAATATTTCACTGTAATCACAACGACATTATGTTAATAGCCCTTTATGAAGCCTTTATTGTGAGGAGCACTTTGATGGCCTGTGCTTGAAACTCAATATGCCTCTGAGCTACCCAAATTAAACCTCATCTTTCCAGCGAGCGCAGAATGATCTTCATGGACACTGGCTCGTCGAAAGTCAATTGAAACAATTCGTAATCCCATCTAAAAGATATTTTGCGTGCGTACACATGAATGAGTGTCTTGCGGTCGTAATGGGAAAGTTATTACCTTTTGGATGATGTTGTCAAAGGCCTTGTGCAGCTTATTGTGAGTGGACGACAGCTTGCGGAAGTCTCGATGTGCTTCAAGTATCGGGATGATGATCTTGTAGACTTCATTCACAGCTTCGTAAAGGCCGCCCTGAGAGAGCCACAATCAATATGAAAAGGTGATTAAAAAAGTCACAAATGTACAAAAAGCAATTACTTTAGCTCCTACTTTAATGCCTTGTGTGATTGTTTGTTATTAGTAATGGCAGGTTTAAGATGCCGTTACTATTATTTATAGTTAAGAGGTCGAATTAAGCACTGATATGTCTGCGCTTTTCTTAATTGAACGGGTTGGAATTGGGCCTCAAAATAGCAAAAAACATATGTATTTTTTGTGTGTATCTATATATATTTGGTTTTCTATGTATCTTCAAATTGCACCGGAACTAGATGAATTAGAAATGACAAAAAGTCTACTGAATATTTCACATTCTAAAAGACTATTGTAAAGTATACTTCATTGGCTTTGATTCTGCTTTGATTGGTCCAAAACAACTCCTTAAGTTCTACCTTAAATGGAAAACTGTCCATTTGACTGTTCTGGTCTGCTGTGAGCTCTCTGCCGTTTTTGTTCTGAAAAAAGTAGGTGTCTGGGGAAAAAAAGAGTAGGAGGCCTGTCCTTATGTTAGAAATATCCACACCCACTAATGCAATAACTAGGATCCGGACTTTGCAATCTTTGAATTTAATCTAGACTCTTTTGTGTTGAAATAGTGTATATACATCACTAGAATAGTGCAGTGTATTTGTGCAGACTAAATACAGTTTAAAAAAAATCTCCCTAAAAATGTAATAATATTGTTATTAATTTTTCTTCCTGTTCTGTGCCATTCTTACCTTCAGTACATTATGTCCTTTAAAATTAAACCTGTCACTATAAAAAAGGAACCGCCAACAACAAACGCAGACAGAACAGTATTAGAATAATTAATTAAATTATGTGATGTTTATGTCTTGTCACTTTGTGTTCTTTATGAGAATGATATTAATACATGATTGACAGCTGCTGGCAAATCTCACATTGCTAAACAGCTCGGCCGCCTGCTCCAGGAGCCCCACCAGTCCGCTCTCGGTGAAGTATCGCCCCGAACACACGCCGTCTTCATCCGGGGACAGGACGTCATCTGACACGGCCGACTCCTCCAGCACGTTGGGGGAGATGTTCTGAGAAGGGAGGGACAATCAATCCATTACAGGGCTAATCAAATAATCAATCAGGAGGATGACTTTAAGAGGGAGAGGTCCCGCAGTGTGAAATGGAGCTAATTTGATGAACATCCAATCAATGAGGTGCTGACTGCTGCAGGTTGGACTGTCCTGGACATGCCTCCCACAGAGGGCCGGGGCGGACACAGGTCGTCAATAGCCGTTTCCGTGTGGCTCCGATAACTGCTTTAGTGCACCGGACAAACTGCCCCCAGCCTCCCAGAGGACCACACATGCCCCTCTCCCCTCTACAGCTTCAAAGGCACAGTGTTCAGCCACAGCACGACAAGAGGAGAATATTTATGTTCAATTAATATGAGGACACAGCTCCCCCCACTGGACAGAGGTAAACTAATATTGTAACTGCAATGGAATGATATTCGGATCTACAAAATAATAATCTCCTTGGATATATTTTTGGGTATGTTCACAGTTGGGGAAGACTTGGTTCACTTCAGAACCAAATGAAATAGTCCTTAGGTTGTTACTGAACTGTTTCAAAGCAAGTGAGTTCACTGAGGCGATTTTCCCCAAAGAGCACCAGAGTCCACTTATTTCTGTACTTTTAACTTGTCTAGTGCACACTCTGGACTTTTGCGAATATATTCCAATGTGGTTTTACTGAAAATGGCAAATAAAATGAATCTGAATCTGAAGCAGATGTTCTGTTATTAATGAGGCTGTCTTGTATATTCGTATTCTGGGACCTATGAGTGAATGATTCTTAACAGTGATTGCCCTGTACCTGAAAAGTGACACTTCCCACAGGTAAATACTTGTGGTCCTCCAGCATGCTGAGGTACTCGGCCACCAGGGCAGCAGCGTGCACTAGACACATGGCTGACTCTGTGTAGCACTTCCTGTTGTTGTGTTTCTCTGCCATATTCTGCAGCCAGGTCAGGCGCAGGTCCGGAGAGGTCTGGTAGCCCTTAGCAATCCTGAAGAAGAGGGAAGATGGGATATTATGTTTCACTGAAGTTTATGGTGAAATGCATAAATATTGAGTCAGGTCAGCCCAAACTAGCACCATGGAGCCAATTACTAATTGTTTTTTTTTATAGAAGAATGAAGATTAAGCTATAGTATTCAAACAAAGCAATAGCCTCTGGGCACTGTCCAAAGGTCCCACCCACTTCCTGGTTTGTGTTTTAGCACGAGCACTTCCCAATTTGTGATTTACTAAAGCAAAGCTGCCGTTTTACACCTACTCCCTACTAGCCCTACTGGGGCAACAGTGGCACTGTTGGTAGAGCATTGGCCTGTGAAACTGAAGGTTGAGGGTTCGAGCCCACCACAAGACCTTCTCCACCGACTCTGCTGCCGTTAAGTCCTTGGGCAAGATGCTTAACCCACTTTGCCTATAAGGAGCGTGGAAGTAATGTTCGCTGTATGCCTTGATGGGTATACTGTATGTGTATTAATCAAACTGAAATTTCCCCACTGTGGGACGAATAAAGGACCTTCTTTTTCTATCACAGTTGGGGATGTATTTGTCTTATTGAAAAACGGAACAGGAAGTGCTCACGCTCAGACACAAACCAGGAAGAGGGGCTGGCACAAAGCCTAAAGGCACAGACCATAAATGTCCTGGCTATAATCCAGAATATTTATGAACATTTATGGACATTGGTCATCCTGCTACCATACCCTTATGTGTGTTTTATTATTTAATTATTGTTATACAGTAATTGTTATCTTTTCTAATCTGTTATTGACAAATTAAAACATTCTGTGAAGTCTGGGGTTATACAAATGAATTGAATAGGATCCCAAACCAGTATGATATAGTTAAAAAAAAGAGAAGTGCCAAAAATATCCACATTCTAAATAGACACTCTGTGAATTGACCTAAGCATAAATGGCTGCATGCATCTGGAGTCCAAATGTTTAGTGAGTTATCGAGGAAAATGTTGAAGTAACCCTAGAATGTAAATTCGTCTCGGGTCACTCCACACATGTGTCTAACATAATAGGCGAAAGGTTCTCAAAACTAACAGAGGCACAATTCATAAACAACACACTGAAAAACATCTTCTTGAATTGACGACCAGAATTTAAACAACGTGTTTGTTATACTTGGTTTGAAGCAAAGGGATTTTAGGAAAATCTGGGGATAGGAGAAACAGTAAATATGAAAATATATAATGTTGCAATTGTTGTTTTGGAGTTGTACAAAATTACAATATTCAGACAAAGTAAGATTCAGTACACTGTTTCTGGTAAGAACAATTACAGACATTGGAAACACAATACAAACATTTTGATAGATGCTGACCGTCACTAAATTATATCTTTGGGGTGAAAAATTGCAGTGAGCTCAAATTTTAAAGCAAAATACCTTGAAACCTGGGATTATGATTTTGTACTTAATCCATGAGAATATTTTGACTTTTGACCAAAATATTGTATACCCCTTTGCCATCACCAACAGACATTAAATCAGCACAAACATTTAAATGTCATTGTTATTTGTATGTGTCGTATTTTGCTGTGTGATGTCATGTTTTATGTTAAAACAAACAAAACAGATTGGAAATATCATACATTTCAATTAAACTTCAACCCACACAATACCTAAAAAAAGACAAGACATTTCTACTGCCTCTAGAAGTAGCTTCAACAAATGTCTAATCTTTTTGTTTTTTGTGGTGCACAATCGGGGGGGTGTTGGAGCATTGGAGGTACGGGGCCAAAGTCAACACACAGACCATGTAAGCTCTCTTTGTCCTCGCTGCCCGCTCCGTGTGTGTGTACATGCATTTGTACACACACACTTCATTTGATTTGCATATACACAAAGACAGATCAGACCAAACTGCTACCACATGGTTACCATAGTGAGGGCATCAAATACAGGCACAACAAGGCCGGCAACAGTGACATAGGACGCGGTACAGCTGTGTTCAGGGAAAGGCAAGCCGATGGTGAGGATTAGGTCACCGCAATCTCAATCATAATCATACACAAATTAACCTATGCACTGACATGATTGAGCCTGATCTATGTAAGGGTGGAACTGGGAAAATTAGACTATCGTTCAAAAGTTAATATATTCCTGTGGTTGAACTTGAAATGTGAAACCAACATATGATATAGATTCATTACATGCAGAGTGACATATGCCAACAAGCCTTTTCCATATGTCAAGTGTTTGTTTCAGTTTAGATGGCTATGGCTTACAGGCCGTGTTCAAAATTTTTTAATTTTATTTGGGGGTTTTACAACAATTATCAACATTATAATGGCTCAATATATCCCTTGCATTGAGTCTGTCATACATAATCTTCACATTGTAGGTTGAATTACAGAAGTTAATGGACTTTTGAAGTTTCACCTGTGTGGATCATTAGTTTGAAAAGACAATCTGAAATCAATTTTGCCTAAAAATATTATTAAAGATATATTTTAGAAACCGACTGTTAATGTTCGATTTTCTTTGTAAATACTTGGCTTTTAAAATAGCTGTACAATAATTAACAATTATTGCGATGATTACTATTATTGGTTTGATTAACCGATACGATGTTTAGATCACAAAAAGTCTATATTTATGGGATTTGTAAATACAGTACATTTGGCAAAAACAAAGCTTCAGTGAGACAATTCTAGAACATCTTATAGACTAATAACAATTTGTTGTTCTAATAAATATGTTTATGCATTTTCAGTTTATTCTCCGAAAATAGCAGCGATGTTGTGAATCATACAATGTCTTTACAGCTTGTTGTTCAAAACAGGAGAATTTCCACCGGCCCTGTTAAACCGGTACCAAATACTTTATTAGTACCTGCTTGCTCTTGGTTCTAACTAACTTGAGCTGGTACTACAGTGATGTAACTGTCAGTGATTGGCCAGAGTGATGCTGGAAGCCATGGTTGCCACAGAATTTCCCCGGATACTGGTTTGTTGGGGGTAGGTTGTTAGGACACATTACAAGATACTAAAGCATAATGGAAACACAACTAGGTAGAGCAGAGTAGATCAGAGCAGGGCCAAGTAGGGCGGGTGGAAACAGGACATCTCTACATACCTGTACATTAGGTCCATCAACATCTCTGGATCTTCTTGGAATTCTCTCATTTTTACAGTGTCTGACAAAATACTGTTTAGGTTTCTTAGCAGCTCATCCACCTAAAAAATATGAGAAACATCATTTACAAATCACATACATGTCTATTGTTGGATATTCACATTATGTCATGCTTTTATACCTGTGAGGGGAGTTGGGTATTCTGCATCTCCGAGTCCTCCTCTGCGTAGGCCAGGATGGTGCGGAGAGAGCGCCGTAAGTGCTCCTCCTGGAAGTCTGAGGATTGGCCCACGAGAGAGGCCAGAGACATGGTTACTTGCATTTTCACCCTGGAGAAATTCTGAAAAACAAATTCAAATTGTGACGGTAAAAATGGTGCAGGTTCAAGAATTCAAGAATTGATTCACCATTTGCAGTAAAACCACATTAGAAAAACTGTGCAAGACTACACCAGTGTGCACCAGATTTTTCTTTTTCTTATTTCAAGATTCAAAGAGAGGACTGTGGTGGTGAAAATGTTAGAAATTCTTCAAATCAAAGTAAAAAAAACCCAGAAAGATTGTATCCGTTTTATCACAAACTTGGATTATTCAGTATATTGGTTGTTTTTTGTTTCCTTTGAGATGGACTGTGCCTTTTGAAGTGGCTACATACATACTTAAAAAATCCCCGGCAATGGTAAAATTGAGTGGTGATTATTAAAGCTGTCTGGAACAAATGTACAGTAACCCCTAATTTAAAAAACATGTAATTGGTGGCTTTCTCATGGTTTCAACACCATAATAACATGCCATGTGTAATCAAATAGAGAGAAAAATATATGTACTGTATTCAGTTCTTTGAGGAATCTGAGGCATATTTGTCCTTGTGGCAAACGCTTGTGATTCGTACAGAGCTTCCTTCCTACCAGCCAAAAACCACAGAATGAATTAATCATAGAAACAACTTCTGGGGACATGTGAAACACCAGTGAATGTTTGCAAAGAAGGAAAGCATTTGATGTGAGCCCTAACCTTCACACTGGTGCCTCCGAGCTCACAAACATGCAAAATGTATTCTATTGTCTGGATACATTTGACAGCGTTGGGCTTTAGTTGTTTTTAGTTGCAATATTCTATAACAAGTAGTGGTGATTGTTTATACTTATATATGGACATGTAATTTACCAAACAAATACATTGTATTCATCAAAAACATAATAATAATGATGTATAACCACTAGTAATAACTCTTATTGGCAATAACTAGTAACAACTGTTTGATTTTATATTTTTATCTTTGTTTTTGATGTACTGTGATTATTTATGATTTTAATGCTTTCTGGTTTTGTTCAACAATTCATACACAAGACAACTTCTTTGAGTTGCCTTGTGTATGAATTGTGCTGTACAAATAAACTTGCCTTGCCTTGCATTGCCTGTTTGAACAGCAGCACAAAATAGCACAGAATTTGATCTTTGGATAATCCCAGAAAGGTGAATGAATCTATATTAGATCCAGAAACACAATTAAATTCTATAAACAGTTTACTATTGTTTCTGATTTGTAATGCTATAGAGTAAAAGTGAAGGGAAAAAAATATGTCAAAATGTGGAAGTTTTATTGTTTATTGAATGTTCTAATTTTGATCCACAGCAGAACTAATATACGATCTTTGGTACGTTATAAAGCAACCTTATGTTTTAAACTAATAATTTATGTTACATTTATGTTTTAACATAATTACAATATGAAGGTTTTTTAACATGTATTTAACAGGTATTTTAGCTTGTAATGGAAGATTGAGATGTCAGTGATTTTTTGCACTTAACTACATCTAAATATTTGGGTTCAAATTATAGAATACAATGTAATGACATGGTTACTTTCTAAAAAATATTTTCAGGGGCCAATACAAATGATCCTGCAGGCCTTGAGTTTGAGTATCAAGTCATTACTATCACAGAAAACAAGGCTGATTGTGAAAGCTCAGAGGGTTCACAGGAGTTGTAATAATTATAGAAATAAAGAATTTATGACAAAAAGCACTGGAAGAAGAATATATGATTAAAAGTCATTATCACAATTTAATAGACTGGTTTATACTACACCTTGACTTAAAATCAGCTTTGAGGCCTTCATTTTTGCATTGAACTTGAGCTTTGGTAGTTTTGCCGTTTTTCCAGTAAAAGAGCATGTGATGTCTGGAGTCCCATCTATCTCCGGCATGAGCAGCTAAGCGGGAAATGATCTCCCATTAGCTGCGACATAATCACCCATGGATCATCTCTACGGCCCCATTCTGTTCAACTGAGCATGGAGCCAAAGTCTAACCAGCCGTCACTGCCCCATCTCAATGTGTGCCCATATAAATGTCCTCAAACCAGCCTAAATGATTGCTTAAGACTACTCGGGACGTAGAGCAATTATGGGCACCGAGGTAAAGTGAGCTTTGAGATTGTAAAAACTCATTCGCTGCTGTCACATTTCTATCAGTTTCAAATGTCTCTTTAGTATTCATGCATATTTATTCATGTATATTTTTATTATACAATTAGGTTTTAAATGTATTTGATGTTTTTAAAGGTGGCATTACACTATATTAACATTTTCAAGCTGTGGCATATTTACAATATTGTTCCTCCATCCAAAACGGACCTAGAGTTGTTTTTAAAGACACCATATATTTTCTATATAGGATGTTATTTTAAGTTCTAAAACATGAAATGACAAAGTGAATTGTAATTCATTCTTGTTTTCAATGGCACAAAATAGATGTGTACAGTTTTTCTTGGGTTTATCATATGTAAGATCAATACAATGTATGTTGTGCCTACAATCTTAGATGCTTCAGAGTGAGCAAATGGTGTCTTCATATTTTGACAGAAAAGTTTCACCATTTAGAAGTTTTCCAAAGTTTTAAGCATGCACAGGTATACGATATATATGAAGGCCATACTAATATTTCACTCGTCCTCATTTAATTGACTTGGAAATATGTCCTGAGAGTACGCTGATATAACATTTTTATTAATGCGATTTTATGGACTTGACAGCTAAAATTGCACATAATGGCAAGAGAAATATTATTTGACAGATGGTGCAGTATAAATATATAAACAATGGCAGAAGCAGACACTTGTCTGTATGAGTCATTGGGCTGCTACGCTAATTCAGCTCACGGCTCCTTCTGTTTACAGGATACAAACAAACAGAGGAGGGGACTTTCACAGTGGGATAGAAAAGGCTTTCAATGGCACAAAGCTGCTGATCTTCAACATGAACTTTATATAGATATATCTATATAAATATAAGAATAACTGAGGAAAACACGAACAAGCAAAGATATATATATCACCGATCATTTATGCAAAATAAAATAAACTTGTAAGAGCTTTTAAATCATGTTCTCACAGTGTTCACATAAATCAACAATTACTTTGTTTCATTGTGATTGTTTTTTCCTGCATTCAACAACTTCTGTTTTCATCTCTCTACTTAAATCTCTGCCCACTGCTTGGCAAATACAATCGGACAAATGTTTCAACAATAGAAAAAAAAAAAATCCTAAATTCAGCTGCTTGCTACAATGAAATATTTCTAGAAAGAGGAACATTTCTCAGTTTGGTTCTTATTCAGATCAATATTACAGATTTAAATCCTGATCAAAATATTGCATGTCATAATGTACTTTAATACAAAAAAGGAATAAAGTGTGTCTTCTGTAAACTCCTTATTGCCTTACATGTGGCGATCCAAGCCACACACTTCCAGAGGTCTGGCGGCCATTAGTTACAGAGAGGAGGGAAGATGGGGAAGCAGACAATGACCGATCTCTCCTTTCCCTACTCAGAGACCCATCCTTCAAGTGAAACTTTCTACGGCGGGCTCAAAATAGACATGGAAAAGGCATTAAAGCTGCAGCAGGAATGCAATGGAAAAGAAGGGATAGGATGTGAGCGAGCATCCTCCCTGCCCCTGTCTTTGTGGAGGGCATTATGACATAAATCTGGGTAATTTATAAGTCACATGTGAAGCCAAATTCAATTTAGTATGACATAAATGCAATTTTCTCTGCAATCTAAGAGCTAAGGATAGGGTTTCATGAAATAGAAAGGTAAAAGATGCCTGACATTTGGCCTGTGGCTTGAGGGGATGTATTGAGGCCATTTCAGAAGGCGGGTTCAAACACAGGTTTAAATATCATCTCAGTGTTTTTCTTTTTTACAATATTTTAATCACTGGAGAATGATAAATGTTCAAATAGGTTTAGAGGAAGAATATTCAATAAGATGTGTATCTTTTCTTGTTATTTAAGGAATAACCAACAAGGAGCAGTTGTGTTATATATGTAATTACTTTAATGATTTTGTTGTTTGGAGTCGTTGCATAATTTTTATATAGAAATGGAGAAGGGAGTAGAGCTGCTTGGAATGAATCAGGGTCATTTTGCATTTTAACATTTATATGCTCTGTATCTGTCACTGGAATGATTTACTTAATGTCTTGAAAGCCACAGAACTGGGCAAGAATTTGTTACAAGTAGCAACAGATACTTTTGGTACAATTCATGTTTGCATGTTGGGAAAGCAAAGCTAGTCTCAAATAGTCGGGGACATAAGCCTGGAGTAGATGCAAAACCAATGCCCAAATTCAAATCAATAATCACAAAAGAGCTAGCCTGGTCGTACCACACCATAGTACCAATTACATTTCGTACTAAGGTCTGGAGGCGCTCCATTGAGCTCCGTTTACAGGTGGGAGGGGTGAACTCCTTTTGCAGATTGAAACAATTAGATCTGAGTTTACCGTGACGTATGTAAAGCGCCCGAGTAAGTCAGTAGCATATAGCATTTAGCCTAGCCATCTCCTTTGCCGCTAACGGAGCCCGTGGGGAGTAGCGCCACAATTTTTTCTAGTGATTACATTTGGTATACATTCCTCTTGCTCCGGCTTCAATTTCTTGATAGAACCAGACCGGATTATTTTACTATTGCATTTTTCGACATTGCCAAACTACAACCTTACCGTTCGACGCAAACTCTTGACGTCACCCACAACTAACTACAACACTCTCCTTCCGCGCTCGCTGGTAGGTCGGTCGAAATTCAACCGATTGTAATCGCTAACATAGGGACTAGACCCAGACGTTACATGCAGTGAAATGATGATTGAGCGGAGTGTACGGATGGCTAAGGCCAGGCTACAAAAGAGAATTTACTTCCCAGATTACAGGACATTTCTTACTAGTTTTGATCAAATATGTGTTTTTTTTTTTGTTTTGTTTTTTACAGTTTCCATAGTTAGACAAAATGTAATTGTAATTTGTGAGTGATACTTACACTGGCGTTGCTGTAGCTGTATCTCATGATGAGGTAGAGAGTGGCGCAGGCCTGGCTCCTGTTGTCGTCCACTGGACTGCTGCAGTACTGTAGAACCTTCTGACAGAGGTCTGAACACTGCTCAGCCTCCTCCTCAAACAGCAGGTCTCCAAACTGGGCCACATAGACACAAAACAAGCTCATATAGGACGGGGGAAAACAAAACACAAACAAGCACACTTAACCTGACAAGCAGAAATCTTTCCACTCTGCAGCTGAACAGAGACTGATCATTTGGACTCAGGTTACGGTGGGTTTTTTTTTTTTTTTTACATAATTTGATCAGTGTTGAGCTTTTTATTGAACTGCATTTTATTATGTATGTTATATGATTGTATTGTCAAGGACTACAAGTCGTAGCTGGTGCTAAATCTGGTGCAGCCATCTTTTTAATGTAACTGCACACTGTGAATCTAAATAATTTAAACTCATTTTGAAAAAATAAAAATAAAAAAAAACGAAATAGTTGTCTTGGTCGTATTGCCACACATCTTAAATTTTTGAAAATGAAACCTGATTATCCAACATGGATTTCAAAGACAGAAATGATTTGTTCATGGTGTGGAAAAACTGTTGCAATTTGTTCCCTTTTTGGGCCCAAAATCAGGTAGTTTTACCAGATTAAAATCAGTTAGGTCTGGATTGAGAACGGTTTTAGCATTATATATTTTGGTTGAATGGGATTGCTAAAAGGGTAAAAACAGCACATAGATAAAAGTAATGTTCAAGAGCCCTTTAATTTACTTCAAATGTGAAACTAATACACGACAGACCATTACACGGAAAGTGAGCTATATTCAGCTTTCATTCATTATAATGTTGATAATTGGCTCACATCTTGAAAAAACCTCAAATAAAACATCTCAGAAAATCCGTCTATTTTTAAAATTGACTGTAAGCCATAAGCCATACTTGGTATATGTCACTTTGCAGGTGATGAGTCTAAATCATACAGTAAATTACAGAAATAAATACACTTTAGAACAGTATTTTAGTAGAGTTTCCCCTATATCGCTTATTTATTCATATTGTTACTTTTGCAACAAGTCACATTAATCACCTCCATCGTCTCCTGCTATTTTTGCTTGAAACATGCATGTCAGATATGAATGAATGAATTCAGTTTATTTTGGTCACTTGAACAATCATACACATTGTTACAGAGCTGACAATTTACAGCAGAGAGAAAGACCAAAAAGGTGTAGGCTGAAGGCTGATAAGCTTATTTTACAAGTGTAATTAGTATAAGTGAATGAACACAATAGGTTTAACATAAGAAACTGTAAAATCAAGATTCTGAGTTCATGTACCCATCCAAAATGATAGTTTTAAAGGAGCAATATTTGAAAATCTGGCCAAAAGTGGTACTGCAACCACTCCCACTCTCCCTGACTCAGGTGGCCAGATATGCAATCCAGCTGGGACCATAATAACTGAATAGACAAGAGTTTTTTCAACAACAAATATACAACCAACACAAAGTCCCCGATAGAAATCCTTGTTTTATTCCTTGTTTTGTCATGAATAACGAGACCTTTCTTAGCTCTGCTGCCACATGGTACTTTACCAATGAGATTAGCTTGATGCGATGAGTTCTAGAAACCCGGATCAAGGACTTTCTGATTGGTGAAACGGTGGAGGGCGGGACATCAAAATGAAAACAATAAAAAGATTTAGGGGCTATATATAATTAAGAAATTTGAATATCTCGGCTGAACTACTGTTACTAGTTAGAAAGTATTTGAAAAGAGCATATTTTATTAATGCCTTTTGACAGATTAGGGCAATTTAATGATGACATGACATGGAAATCTTACATATTGCTACATTAAACTTCCTATTGAAGTGGAATAGTGAATTATATGAATAAAGTCCAATGACATAAAATATCATAAGACAAAGATGACAGCATACCTTGACCACGAGCGCCCGCAGTGTGCTGAAAGTGTGGCCGAGGAAAGTGGTGCTTTGATTACAGGTGAGAGAGTGAAGCAGCACCCGGAGGACCCCTCCCACCACACTGTCCTTACAATCAGCCAGCGGCACCGCCTGCACAAAACAAACAGTGATGAGACTTTACATGAAGGGGTTGGATGAGTGTCTCTAAGTGATCACTGCAAGATGTTATTTATGCAAACAGAGATCTCAAAGCTGTCAAGGAGCTGCATTTGAATATTTGAGTCAAATTTGGGAAAGATTAAATTGAGTTGACCATGGTAACTCTTTCTGATGATATGAAAATCTTAGAGATTTTCTCAGGGTGTAAAAGTCGACATGTTTTAAAAGTTCAAATCCAAAAACGAATAAAAAAATGAGACAAATTCATAGCTTGCAACTTTCTTGGACTAAATATAACGGCTTCATATGGAAATAAACAGAAACTATTATATTTACGTATTTCATGTATCACATCTTTATGTTGTGTGCGGACTTTTAAGTATAATAAATAGTAACACATGCACCAGACCAGACAATGTATATATTTTCCCAGAAAAGTTCAATATTTTAATTTCATCTTTTATACTACTTTGTAAAATTATTCTTACCATACAGATTGTGGCTTTGTTATTTGGAATTTTTGTGTGAAAGAAAACACAATGTGGCAAATAATGTTATCAAACGAAAGCATTCAGGACCCATAAGCAGTTTTGCAAACACACAATGGGAAAACAGTCTATATCTACAAAACTGATTTAAAAAAATGCTTGCATCTGTTACAGAGCAGAGTGGCACAAAGTAGCAGGGGCCAAAAAAATAAAGTAAACTAAATGAGGTTTTTTTTTTTTTTTTTACACTACAATTACTGGTATCTGTTGTGTATACAATGCAAATAAACTATATTTATAATTGTGGTCATAAAGAGACAAAATGTGGGAATGTTCATGGGTATCAATACTTTTTTTACATTAACATTTTCCAAACCTCACCACAATAATCTTTTCTTTTTGATGTACCAATTTCTGTTTCTATTCAACATAAATCCTGATAACAAAAGCCTGAAGTGTGAACATTTGAGATTTCATGTTTTTCAGATAAAGGAATAAAAAATATGGTACATCAAAATAGAAAATAACTTTATTTTATGTAGGTTTTCAATTGAATCAATATTGCTGAGAGTTTATGAATCACCTGAACAATAGTTTCCAGTAGATCCAGAACGATGAGGTTTGCTTCTGTGGATAAATTTCCACTAATCAAAGCTTCTTGGTCCAACTCTGCTTTTGTTCTGATCAAAATAACATAAAAACACAACATAAGCTTCACTTTAGAAAATAATTAAGGATCATTTAAAAGTGTCTTCTTACTTATCCTGGCGATCGTTGGTTTGCCTCCACTGGGTCAGGTCTTTCCTCCAGCGTCGGTTGTCTCCATAACCCAAAGTTTTGTCCATTCCTGTCCACAAAATTATCTTGAATCTTTAAATCCTTCCATTGCAAATCCCCAAATTGTCATGCCCTCACTCTGCAAAACCTAGCAGCTACTTTGATTCTTATATCTATCGAGTCTTTTCTTCCTCTACAGATTAGCATTTGAACACAAAAACTAGTTTTTTGTGTGTTACTATTATAAGCAATTGCCTGTTTCGTTTTAGATAGCATAAAAATAATCACATTTAAATCCTTAAAGACTGAACTATGCTCAAAGTGACCTGCCTCTATTAACAGAATACAAACTGACAAATACATGTATTCTCGATACCAAGGATGGCTGATTATCACGTCAAACCACAAACATTTATTATTCTACTGCACAACAGAAAGGTATTAGTTATATGATTACAATAAAAAACAAAAAGACCCAATTACAACTGGAAATTTCTCTCTCTTTCTGTATGTGTGAAATATACTATAAAATGATAATATCAAGTTAAAATATTTTGTACAAAAGTCTACAGTACCTCCAACTCTCTTCATCATTTCTCCGCGGGCCCCGGCCCCCTTCAGCAGAGCCTCCTCCAGCTGCAGTTTGGCGTGCTGTGATTTCTGAAGAGCCTGGGCACTCACTTTGTCCGTGCTCTGTTTTCCCTGCAATTCACATATTTAAATTAGATGGTGTCATAGATTATCCCTCTAAAGCAGACAGAAAGACAATATTCTAATGAAAAACTAAAGCTGTTTTGATTTATGATAAAAGAACATTTTATTTCAAGTTTAATGCAAGTAAAACTATGAAAATTTGAATATACTTAAAAAGTCCAGAATTTACAATGTGGAACTAATATGAGATAAATAAAGAATATCTTATCTTATATATGACGCATAGTGAGATGTGTCAAAACCTCATCTGTTATAATGATGATAATGTATATCACTTGCACTAGCATATACAGTATTTTATACTTGCTTCTTTATTATGCCAAAGTTAGAGACTTTATTCTGTAACTTTATTCTTATCATTATGCTGAAATTTGCTAGATTTGCTGTTTTATAATGATAAAGCTAAAGAGATTTCATACCTACTTTTTTTATGCTTAATTTAGCTATTTTTTATTTTATTTTAATTAAGTATAGTTATTGTTCATTTATCTTGTGCTGTGTGCTCCTCAATCCTGCTAATCTTAATCTGAACAGAAAATGTTGAAAATGGACAATAAATCATAATCATCATGAATACAAATAAAGGCATGGCAAATGTCACTTTTGCATGTGACATTGGTTTCACATTTTAAGTTGAATGAAATGAACCTTTGAACTATATTCTAATTTGAGATTCATAAAGCAGCGACGACTCACAAGAACCTGGCATTGATAAGGTTGATTTCATGTTAAAGCTACAGTATATAGGAGGATCTTCTACTTCCGGGTGGATCATGAAGACTATTGGTCTTCCTAATAGTCAGTCATATTCTGGTGATATGTGCTCGTCAAATAAGACCAGAACATTTTCAAAAAGTGGAGAGGGCGGTTCTTTGGGAAAATACTCCTATATATCTTTATGTATAGTATATAGTAACGTTTTTAATGAATAGATTTGTGCAGAGACTCACCCTGTATTCAAAGCAGGAGAGGCAGATGGTGAGGAGCTCCAGGAGTTTGTTGAGTTGTGACGGGGGCATGTCCACAGTCCAGCGCTGGATCAAACTCCCATCGACGTTCTTCATCACCCACAAGAAACACACCAGCAGGTTTCGACTGGTGTCTGCGGGCAACGTGGCTACAGATTTACCCTGCTGGAAACCAAACACAGGATTTAAGAAGGCAGAAATAACCAAGAGGATCATTCTCAACTAGAAATGAAAATCACCCTTAAAAAAACTAATCCTAACCCAGCCTGAGGAACCCTAAGTCTGATAAATTTTCTAAGACAGAATCACAATCTTTTAATAATTTAACAATAATAATAATAACAATTAATTGGTTTTATAAAGTGCTTTTCTGGACACAAAAAGGAGGCTTCACATGTCATTATTCTTTAACTCCAAACACGGTGGTGATAAACTACGACTGTAGCCACAGCTGCCCTGAGGCGCACTGACAGAAGCGGGGCCACCAGTATGCGCCATCAGCCCCTCCGACCACCACCAACCATTCACACACTCCAGACTCATTCTAGGCAATGTGGGTGAAGTGTCTTGCCTAAGGACACACAACAGTTTGGAAGTTTACAGCTGCAGCCGCCCCACTGTGGCACCTTGTGTTCCCAGAGGTCTCCCATCGCAGTACTAACCAGGCCCTGTCCTGGTTAGCTTCAGGTCTGACGGGATCTGGCTTTCACATGCAGGTATGGGCACAAGAATTGTATTAACCCCGGCAGATACAGCAATATTCTAGATTATTTGGAATTGTCTAAGATAGGGTTCCTAACTTTCAAAGAGTTGAAAACAGTTGGCTAATAACAATGGGCCTCATTCACGAACGGTTCTTAGGAACAGATTTGTACGTAAATCCTACTTACGCGGTTTTTACGAAGAAAGTGGCATTCACGAATATTTCTCGTAACCAGAATTTCTCTTGGGCAAGTACAAATCCTACGAGTCCTCAGGAGCACTCGTACGCATTCAGTGCCGACATGTTCACACGCCGGGGTTGTCCTCTTTGGTGAAGTTGAATAAAAATACAACATTCCAGTGATATGTCCGTCATATCGATGTATGTATTTATTTATTTGTAGTAATCTTTATTAGTAATCTTTATTTATATACCGCCTTTTTCACTGCAGATCTGGCCTACTTTTTAATTCATTTTGAAATGAAATGTGCCAACGCTTTATCAAATACATTGGAAATCATGCCGTGTATTAGTGACCCCTTCCTATTTATAGGGGGCATTTCTTTATCCACGGGCCACAGAACAACGGCATATATACTGCTGCTGCAGGAGGCTGCGGGGTCCGCGCTGAGTCTCTCTGCGCTGGTCTCTCCTATGGATCTATACGGGTCTGCACTGGTCTCTCCCATGGATCTATACGGGTCTGCACTGGTCTCTCCATATACGGGTCTGCACTGGTCTCTCCCATGGATCTATACTGGTCTGCACTGGTCTCTCCCATGGATCTAGACGGGTCTGCACTGGTCTCTCCCATATACGGGTCTGCACTGGTCTCTCTCCATACGGGTCCGTGCTGCATGCTCCTGGATCCATACGGGTCCGCGCTGGTCTCTCAAGTCTGGTCTATGCGGTCTCTCTTCGGTCCGCGCTGGTCTCTGCGCACCGGTCTCTCCAGTCAGGTCACTCCAGTCTATGCGGTCTCTCCTATAGGTCCGCGCTGGTTTCTGTGTGCTGGTCACTCCAGTCTCTCCTCGGGTCTGCATTGGTCTCAGCGCTGGTCCGCGCTGGATCTCCTCCCAGGGTCCAAAATATTTTGAGATTAATCTCAAAACATTTTGAGATTCATCTTTAAAATAATACATAATATATTTTTAAATTAAGCTCATAACATTTTGAGATTAATCTCATCATATTCTTAGATTAATCTCATAATTTTGCTAGTTCGACTTTATTATCATAATATTTCGCCTTTTAAGTCAACATTTTATAACTTTATTCTCAGTCTGGTAAAGGAAGAAAAAAGGGTGACTATTTTGCTCCGTGTAACTCTTTGCTTTAGGCCTGTTGCTGTTTCCTCTGCCGTCTGCACACGGCCCTGCAGTCCCTTATATGGGCATTAATGGGCGGTTACTTATGCTAAGTACCTATGCTAATGAAGCACCTGGCACGCGCGCTGTATTTACGAGGAAATGGGATTCATCAATCTGAGAGAACAGCTGCGAACAATTCAGCGGCTTACGAGTGCGTTGATGAATCCCACGTGGGGACTTCTTAGAAATCTACTTAAGGACAACTTGAGAAGAAAGTTGAGTAGTTTCTTACGAAGTTATTCGTGAATGAGGCCCAATAATTTTGGCCTCTGTCCTGTCTTATGATCAGCTTTTTCAGACAGAAAATTGAAAGAAACAGGCCCTCTGAGTTCTTTCTTCTAAGTATCTAAAATATAACTATGTTTTTAACCAGATAGAAAGACAAGACAGCATGTTGTGGTTTGATTTGTTTACATTTTACTTTTACAAGACAACTACAGTCATGGGATTTCAAAGAATGTCACTTTTTTTCTCAAGAAAGTGACATTTCTCAATACTAATTCATGAGAAATACTACTCTGTGATGTCATAGTGGTACAATGACATCACACTATCACAGGACTGAGACAGGAGCTTTTAGACAGAAGGGGCGGAGCTACAGGTTTGTGCCAGAATTTCCTGATATTAGTGCTGATCAATCTAAAAACAACATCTGTTTTTGAGGAGGGAAAAATGTTGTAACATGCAGAGCACAAAAAAAGTCAATTTAGCTGAATATGTCTCAATATAATATTTATATTTAAATAATCCCTCATCCCCAATTTACCCATGTTAGCCATCTCGCCTCTGGACATAAATCAAGTACAAGTCTCGGTGATGTTTGCTAGGTCTTGTTCTGCAGCAAAATAGAGAGTGAGGGAGGCAGGTTGAAGGTGGGACACTGGAGCTCGAGGAGGTTAATGGCTACATTCATCAAAGCTGCCAAACAGTGAAACAGCAGCAGCCCACTATAGAAACAATTCATCATCACAGCAATGAAGCTAAATTAATCTGCAGTACATTTAACCCCTATTAGAACGGCCAAACTTCACTGGAGCCCGTGTGGAGCCAGTGTGGGTTGTGCGGCAAGTTTAAGGAGAGGTACTGTAAGCATAATTATGTCTTTATTTGTGTTCAGGGACAGCTCATAATTGTAAAGATTATGGCCGACATTATCCATTTAGTTTTCCTTCTCCAAGACCCACAGAAAGAGTGAGCTATGTTTTGTGTCTCTCTGCTTTATAGGGTATGTTCGTTGCGATAACATTTGTGATTTATGTTTAAAACACAGATTGGGTTCACATTAACTTCAAGCTGGGGTTTAAAGTAAAATATTGTGAACAAATCACACAAGTATGAGAAAACATTTAATCTTTTCCATACTAGTAGAGCCTAGTGGTTCTCTCTTTTTGCTGGGAGAGAAGCTAAAAATACATGCATGTGAAAAGCAACGATAGAGGCTCTCAAGTGTTTTGAGAGTGAGGAGCTACTGGACTTAGATGGATTACATGGTTCCAGTTGTTGTGATTTGAATGTTAGGGACCCCAGCTTTAATGGTACAATCTAATCTGAAACATATTGGCTGCAACTAAATTCCTAAAACTCCTCTTCAAACATCCCTTATCCTTCACACATATATCCTCTTCTTTTTCTTCCTTGTTCATTTAAATGGACTAACACAGGGAGGCTCCATGTCTGATCGAGTGAAATTGAGGACCTTTAATCTGGCGTTGATAAAAATTGAATGTCACGACAGAGCCAATGAAAAGTGGAAGAATGGACACGGTGGGGTAAGGAAGGAAGACTAGAATAATTAAAGCTACCTAACTTGTGTGTTCTATAAATAATATATTTTATCGGTTCCAACAGAACCGATAGTCTTGAAAAAATATCAGACCACAGCATACGGCCATCATTTAATTAGAAAACCTGTACTCTGTTGCATTCTTGTGAGAAAGAGCCCTGTGGGTCAGTCTAGACTGACTCTTTGTGCTGATTGGCTGAGTGAGGGCGGTCCTCTCATTTGAACGTTTCTGTCTGAAAAACAGAGGCTGTAAATACTAGTGAAAACTAGTTATAGAACCGTTTTAAGCCAGTAAATTGGTTAGATGGACAGTAATTACATATTTCCAGGTTATGGGGTTTTAATAAGAAAATTAATAATAATATTAATAATAATAACAATAATGCATCGTTTTCTTAAAGCGCTTTTCTGGACACTCAAAGACGCTTCACGTGTCATTATTCTTTCCTGGGGCACACTGACACACTTTTAAAGTTAGGTACCCCAGCTTTAATAAATTCAGAAGCATCCTTGGAACCCGCTGTTCTATAAAACACATTGTAATATCTAAGTGCGGGGTAAAAACATTTACGTAGCAAAAAACATGGACTGAAATTGCCAACAGGTCTACTTTTGTGGACGAGAGCAGAAGAGCAGAGCTGACTTTAAGTGGCCGTGTTGTTGCTGTAGCTACAATTGATGGATGTGTTTGTCAAAGAAGACAGCCCTGTTCACTTATGATGGCCGAGTCTGCCCATAAAGCATTTCCTGTGTGTGTGTGTGTGCATGTGTGTGAGTGTGTGTGTGTGTGTGTATGTGTGTGTGTGTGCGTGCGTGTTGTGTACTACTTTTTCACGATGGATGAAGAGTGTGCGTGACGCTGACAGCTAATCAGTCCACCTCAGTGCCGCTCACCTGCTGAGAGCCTGGCACTCGCTGATACGATCGCCCCAAAAACATATACACAGTTTCTCCATTGTATTCAACTGCATGGAATCATTATCAAAGCTCATCATCTGCACCCTTGTCTTATCTTTGTATAATTCTTACCATCGACGCCATGGATACCAGCACGTTGCGGCCGAGCGTGTTGAAAGGGTTTCCGGCGATCGCCATGGCAACAGACTGATTGATGGGTGGGACATTCTCAAGGTCATCCTCAGGTCCCCCCGACTTGTTTTTCCCACTGCGAGTGTCACAAACTATGGAGGTAAACAAATTGGGGAGAAATTCAAGTTCGATTCAAGATGCGTTAAGGCTTTAAAGCAGAGTTTTCCTGCATGAATAACATTTGTGTTTTGTAAAACATTTTGAGAAGAATTTGGATTGCATCATGCTGTCTTCATCTGATTAGAAAATGTGTTATCTTTTGGATACTTGTAAGTAAGAGCCCTGTGAGTCACTATTTGCCTCTGTGTGCTGAGAGTTGCTAGGCACGGAGTGGTCCTTTTTTTTTCTGAAAAACCTGATCACAAAAAAGTACATGCAGAATTTTTGATAGAAGCCAAAAAAAATGCATGCTACTAGTGATACTAGTGATGCTACTAGTGAACTGAGAACTAATTTGATGGATATTATTACACGCTTTATGGTTTAAAGTAGGGCTTCATGATATATTGAAAAAATATTGTTATCGCAATATTGGTACAAGCATTATTCATATAAAAAAGCGATAATTAATTTTATTTAACAAAACATACAGACACATCAACATCCAACAAGAAAAACATACAAACAAACAAACAAAAAAGTATATAAATATATGCATTTGAATGTCATTAATGTTGTGTTGATTGCAATTTTAGGTGAAAGACAAAAATATTGCAATAATATAGTTATCGATTTACTAAACACTCATTTCGAAAATCGCTCTAATTTCCAATATCGTCCAGCCCTAGTTTGAAGTACTCCAGCTTTAAAACACATATCCTGGCATGTATTCCTTAAGGGGTAGAATTATATGTACTGTACCAGTGAAGTCCAGGTAATTAGTGGAGTCGATTATAATGCCCACAAGAGGGAGGTAGAGAGCAGCCACTTTTGCTCTGACTTCAGGTTTGATGCAGCGGTGGTCCAGATCATGGGTGCACAGCAGACTGTACACAGCATTTATGGCCTTTCTTTGCACCTTCGCCCTGAACATACAAACCATTACATTAGAAACAACACATATTTCATAACAATGACTCGTGAATGAATGTGCGTGGCTCACCCCTCTGATTCCATGTCGAGGGCAGCGTTGAGCTCGGTCAGCAGCAGGCCGGTCAGATAGTGCTGTTGTTTAAAATCATGGGAAAGGTCAAAAAGAGCCAAGATCCTCTGCTGCTCCTGGAAACTACATGAGCCAGAACTCTGAAACACAAAAATTTGAATGTTTCAAAACATGAATTTCACTTTATTTGTTTCATAAAGAAGACATGTTGGATACTTAAAGAAGCTATACCCAATTTATTTTCAATTGAGTTCATAAAAAAGGCTGCCTCCTCTAGCGTCTACAGCGCATGTACAGTAAACACAGCAGCATGTTTGCAGAAAGTGGCTATAGCTCCTCTGGCTGTAACTGCAGATACAGCAAACAGCCCAAACGACGCATCAGTGAGGAAGAGAAGAGGGAACTAAAGCGAAAAAATTATCAAAGAAGAAATCAAGCCCGGGTGAACATACATTAGGATTAGCTTACATCCTCTGGAATGACCTGCGGGTGCGGGACCGCCTCGGACTACACTTGTACGCAAAACGAGCGGTAATCTTTCAGTTATATATTTTGTTAGCAGTGCGTTGCCTCTGTACCATTTCATCAGTGATTGTTGTACAGCTTACGAGAATTTGCGCTCATGCAAATGTTTTCATACGTGTCAGATCACAAATAAAACTAGAGGGCTTCGTGATATGAGCGCGCAGGGGAAATAGGAAGCCTGTGAGCCAGTTGGGGGGCGGTGCAAAACATTCAAACTGAAAAAAAAAACCTTGCAGAAACAGGTATAGCTCCTTTAAAGCCTGGTTCACAAGAGACGATTTTAAAATTGTCGGCCGATTTTTCTCTGTGTGAGACCCCACACAGGGAAATAAAAAATCACGGGTCTAACCACTTTGGTTGTACAGTGTGTGGTGCGCAGCCACACGGCAAAAATCACGCAAACCACACACGAACCAATTCCCCCCCCCCCCCTCCTGAGTGAGGATTGTCCCCCCCCCCCGAGTATTCACAGATCAGACGGAAATCTCAGGTCTCGCGAGATCAAGCGTGACTTCAGAGTAAACACACATGGCGGACGAAGAGGATGCATTGGCGATAGTTTGTTTTTATCGGAGAAAAGACGTAATCAAAAGAAAAGGCGATGGTCAAAGAAGTGTAGACAACACGAGCATGGACTATACTTGCTACATCGTGATATGGAGGCGTTTCCTCACCGCCTCGTCTCGTCTTCTGATTGGCTACACGCCGCAGTCATGGCAACGCGCACGTCTGTCCTCGGGGGACACCACACACGAAGAGAAATCGGGCCAAAACAATCCAACATGTTGGATATCCCCGATTTGAGATCGGGAGCATCCGATGTCCTTCCGAGCGACGAGTGCAGTCTTAACACACCACACACGGCAGGATAATCTGTAAGATTTTGTTACGGAAATCGGAGCGTTTCTTAAGATTGTCGTAAGGGGTAAATCGGGTCTAAATCGGCCTTAATATCCTGCCGTGTGAACCAGGCTTTAGAAAGAGCCCTGTGAGGTGCTTTGGGCTAATTGGCTGAGTGAGGATTGTCCTTTCTTTTTTACTGATCAATAGATGTGACTAGTGATAGAACCGAAATGTTTTGAAAGTGAGGTTTCTAGATTCTAACTAGTTTCTAGATTTCATGACATAGTTAAATTTTTTGCAGTTTGAAAGTTAGGTTCCCCAGCTTTAACATGGAAGACAGACCCCATATTTGCCCTTTACTTTTTGTTAATTTTTGATGGTAATAATGGAGCAACCCCCAACCCCCCAAAACATGTCATCATACAGAGGATACATCGACACACCCTTCAAAATAAAATATAATAGTGCCCCCTCACAGTGATGTAGAAAAGTGCCAGAGATAGTTCATCTTGGCTCTCAAAAGTGACATTTAAAGTTTCTCTGTTTGAAACTAAAGAACTGATCGGCAATAGCTGCAATTTGCTGTAACTTTGTCTATAAATTATACAAAACTAATTTCAGCTTGTTGAGAAATTCCAAATATACCTTTTGAACCCTAGAAGTATTGCCCACAGTCTGTTATGTTTCCTTTCTTTATAAAGTACAGATATTGTACATGAAAGATCGAGAAAACTGAACATTTCTGTAAACACAAGCATTCTTTAAAATGTAAGGAGAATAATAATATATTTATATAAAACCAAATCACCAATTTAAAAAAGAAACATATACTGTGTCATCATAATTTGCTCAATCAAGTAATGTGAGCAAACTTCTGCACATTTGGAAACCATCGTAGAGAATGTTATAGCGTAGAGGAATGCGTGGAATGACAGGCGATCATTGTGAGTGGCATGTTGTCAGACCTGGGAGGAGATAGATGGACAAGGGGAGGCTGGCGCTGAGGCCGGGCTGCTGAAGAAGAGGCTCAGATTGAGGTAGTGCTCGTGGCTGCACAGGATCCGCAGGAACTCCAGACGCATGCTGATCAGTGTGGGCATCGACACGCTTTTGGACGTCATCTACGAGAAAGGATGACAAAGGAAACGCAACTGAGTGCAACAACGTAAATGAAGAACATGGGTAGGGTTGGAAAACTTACGAGAGATCCGAAAATCTTTCTTACCTTAAATGTGGGAAGTTAATAATAATATTACAAAAAAACTAAGGCCACTAAAAATGGGTCGGATTGAGCCTGTGAGCCATAGTTTGGCAACAGTTTGGCCTAACCTTGACTTAAAGTGGACAAAAATTGTGGACAACTCTAAAGGATGGGTCCATGGGTCTGCTGTCCATGGCTGGGCAGGACTCTATCTCTCTTACGATTGGATCTACTTGGGTATAGTTAATGTTTTGGTTTCTGTTATGTCTGTATGTACAGTATCTTGTAACTGTTTAGTGGTGGGCAAATCCTGGCCCGTGGTCCAGATGCAGCCCTTTGGACGTATTAAGATTAAGAGATCCTTTATTCATCCCACAGTGGGTAAATTTCAGTGTTGCATCAAAATGTTATAGAACAGTAGGAATGAGGAGCCCACAGCACAATATAAGCGAACAATAGCTATACTAATTATAATAAATCCCTATGTCTAGCATCAAAGAACAGTATAAAATCTCTATCCGATAGATTTTTATTGTACCAGACGATATTAAATGTAATTAAAATGATCAGAATCCGAATGGGTTTTAATGCCATGTAAGTAACAGGAAGTGACAGACTACCAAATTGCTTTGGCTCTCGGTGCAAACAAGTCAAAAGTAGAGAAAGAATAAGGCATATTAAACATTTCTAAAGTATAACATTTTCTAAAATATAGAAAATATATATAGAAAACGCAAAATAGTCACGATTATTAATATATATACAAGCGCACTCGGTGGATGATTACATGAAAAATTATCTAATTCATATTTAGCTAAATGAGGCAATTCACATTTTGATATCTACCAGTGTCACATTCATCTTATATACATGCACCTTATTTAAACCAGATAATCATAAAAGATGAAATATCGAACCTGGTTGCAGTAGTTTTTCACCAGCAGAAACACAAAGCCGCGGTCCATGAGCGACAGCAGGTCGTACAGGAAGAAGGCCAGACTGATGTTGACTTTCTCCGCTTGTTCCACCTCCTAAAACAACAGCAATCAACAAAGAGCCATCAGTAAAGCACACCGATTGGATCTGGCGGCGCGTGTGGCTGTGCAAGCAGAGTTTTGATACCACACACAGGCAAATATAATTAGCTGTTGTTTGGAGGACAGCAACATACACCTGCTCAAGGGAATACTCGGCCGCCTGGTTAAGCTGTTGACAAGACTAATACTCAGTAATTGCTCCTATCTAATCCAAGTTTATGCAGAGGCTGATTGGACATCGTAATATTCAAACATATTTCATTATCGGTCATGCCAGTTATGTGTACAACAGTAGAATTTAACATATAAAAATGGGTTATGTGATTTGATTTGCTGGGGATTATTATTAAATCTGTCCACAAAGACTGCCATTAATACCATAGTCAAGATTTAGGACAAAATATTACTTAACCCTTATTATAGATATAAATAAAAGTATAAACATGGGTTCACAAAACACAAAAGCAGTCTATAAGGACCTTTATACTCCACAAAGAGGAAACTTTCATTGCAATGCAAAGTCCCAGATCATAATGGTCCTGTTTTTAAAGTGTATTTTTATATTAAACATTTCATTATTTAGCCAACAAATCTCAAAATAGAGGAGGTTATTCACTATACAATATGTAGAGCCTTGACTCTACATATTACATTCCAATTCAAACAAGTCCATTCCATTCAAACATTCCATGTTTGAATGGAATGGTCAAAGACATGGCTATATCATAAGGTTCAAGCCTGACATATATGTACACGTGTTCTCATTTACCTTTTGCTGTTTGACCAGAATGGTACAAATCTCTGCTGTAACCACGGAGACAATTGTGGCAATGTCATCTTTGAAACGATCGGAAAAACGGCTCCTTCGGGAAACATTTTGCTTGTCAAGCTGGGATACATGCTGGGCCATGCTTTTGACCTGGTGGAAATGTCATAAACATTAGACGAGAAACTTACACTCGTTAAGTATTATGCGACATGATGTTAAATCTGACTTCATGTCTCACTGTACACAAAACATAATTAATACAAAGTCACGGCAGTCAAAGACATTCAAGTCAGATTTGAAATGTGTAAAAAGAAACACAAACCAGGAGCTCAAAGAAGAACCACGCATATTTGTAGGAGTTCTCTCTACAGACCCCAGTGCTGACCACCATCTGTAAGGCCAGCTCCTCGTGAAACAGCTGCAGGGAAAACAGATTTTTACACCGCTTGAAAGTTACAATAAATCTAAAGACATTTTGAAAAGGAGTAGAGTAAGGAACACTTTTGAAATAGCAGTGTTGTACTGCCCCCTGGTGGACACAAGTGTGATTTTTGTTGCTTTCAAGTCATACAAGAATGGAGATGTTGTATGTTCTGCAGCCCTTTTCCTCCAGAGAAATTCAATATTGTGTATTTGATTGATAGTGTTTCAGGGGAAGAGCAAAGAATATCATGCCAAATAAAACACACGTTTCCTATTAATATGTGTTATTGATGATGCTTTAAAATTTTTCAGTTCAACTCACACAAACGCCTTAATGCCAATGCCTTAGAAATATTGCACTAGAATAACAACAGTAATACTAACAATGATAACAATGACAGCACAATTATAAAAACAAAATATGGCATAAACATTAAAGAAATAATATTAATGTATTCATATATTATACAATTGTTAAAACTGTTTGACTTATACTGTATGTATGAGTGTACATGGACATTGTGATGTTGTATTAATAAGTTGTGTATACATGTGTATTTGGTATATGTTGTGTGTACTTTGTACTTGTACTATTCCAGTTTGATGTTTTGCAGCTTAGCAACATAATTTGTGACTGGGTTTTTTAATAGGGTAAGGCGAAATAAGTGTTGAAATTAAGCCTAAAATATTTGGAGTCTTTAAAGTTGTTAATTTATGCTGTGACATTGACATCTTTTTTTGTTTTGTTCGAACAAATAATGAACTTCTTCTAGTATTTCTCACCTTCCTGTTGGAGGGCCTGGTGCTGCCGCTGCTGCCCTGGTTGTTCCCCTCCACATAGGTGGACATGCGGCTGCCTGGACTGTTGTGGCCCTGCGCAGATGCAGTCACATTAAAAGAGATGGATGGATTCATTAGAGCCGCTGTCACGTTGCCTAATGTAGTGTGAGGATGTGGTGAGCGCAGGGAAGCAGCCTGGATATTTACTGCAGCCTGTTTATATATATGATAAACCATTCAATCTTTCACCAACCTACTCAATATTTTATATAGCAATACCAAATAAATAAGGATGAGGAATAGCATTGGCTTTTAATATATTGTTGTTAAATTCAACATAAAAACTTTCAACCGATTAAACAACTAAACACTAAGAGCTATTTGCTATACTCCATTTAAGATCATTATTTAATTAGTTGGTCATTATAATAAAAAAAAAATATATTATATTATAAATTCAAATACTATTGCAGATGATAATAATAATAAAACTGTATCTATGTTTAGGTTTTATATGTTTAATTTTATGTAATAGGGCCACCTATACTATAAATTAACAAATACCCTGCTGCCCTGGGGCAGTCTCATGGAAACATGTGTGCCAATCTGGAATAGGGATTGATGCTTTTGAATATAATACTGACTGTGAAGACTATTTTATATGAATATAATATCATACTTAAATGATCCTATTCTCATTAACCACTTTTAAAATATAACACACATCTATATGTAAACTCGTATGTTATGTCTACCTTGGCCAAGAGAATGCTCTGCACTTCATCATCCTCTGCAGAGCCGTGTGGAGCAGGGATATCTGGGTTACTGCTGCTGCGGATTCTGGAATGTAAAAGCATGGATCCCACTGACGCCGCCGTCGCTCTGCCCAGAGTGCTGAAACGAAGAGGCTCCACGGATGGGACGCTCCCAACACCTGACAGATTTTTTAAATCGGAAACATTAGTATATTGATTTCAATTTTTCACTTATCACATATCTACACTTCAATAGAATATCTACGAGGGATTTCAGATTATTTAATAAAAATAATAATAATGCAATGGTTTTATACAGCGCTTTTTTGGACACTCAAAGACGCTTTACATGTCATTATTCATTCACTCCATACACGGTGCTGATAAACTACTACTGTAGACACAGCTGCCCTGGGGCACACTCACAGAAGCGAGGCAACCAGTCTGTGCCATCAGCCCCTCCGACCACCACCAACCATTCACACACACACACCAGACTCATTCTAGGCAATGGGGGTGAAGTGTCTTGCCTAAGGACACAATGGCAGTTTGGCACTTTACAGCCGCAGCCGCCCCACTGTGGCATCAGGTGTTCCCAGAGGTTAAGTGTCTTGCCAAGGACACAACGACAGCAGACAGTGGGAGTCAATGGTGAAGGTCGGGCTCGAACCCACGACCCTCTGGCTCAAAGGCCAATGATGAGCAACTGTAGCCCAATTATGTATTTCATAAAGTTTCCCCCCATTCTGATAAAAGAAAACTGTATACAGTATATTCTAATGTATGCGTTGTGATTTTGCAGAATACAAACATTAATTTTGGAAATGGTCCTACCTAAATTGTGCGTTTCCTTTGGGGGCTCTGGCAGGCAGAAGACCCAGTAGAGGTATGTGGCTAAGAGGCAGTTTCTGCCCTGTTGGTCTCGGCTCAACTCTTGACTGTTGTGAAGACTGTTGACGATGGACACCACAGATTCAAACGCAATCTGCGCTAAATTGGCTGGAAAAAGAGAAGACAAACTTATTATAGTATTAGTAGTACTAGTATTAGTAATCCAAATTGCAAAAATGACAGTGAAGCATTTTTACCATTTTAAATTGACGAATTAAAGCTGGAGTACTTTCAAACTACTAAGTAATTGACTACAAAATGATTTTAACACACCAACTCATACATGCATGTATTTTGGGCCTTTGTCACTTTAGGTCAGCTTTGATCAACATAAAAGTGAAAAACAGAGGACCACTCTTGCTCTCAGCCTAAACCAACAAATAGTGACTCCCAGGTCGCTCTCTTACAAGTATCAAAAGATAACATGTTTTTTTTTTTAGACAAGTTGGAGCAGATTGTGGTGAGAATTTATCCACAATATTTTACTTTTACAAGACTAATTCTGTTGGGACAAACAACATGCATTAGTTGGAACAAGTTTGATACCCCCGCTTTAAGTCAGATGTATTTGCCAACGGCATTATTTGGTCACGTAAGTTGCTATTACAAATACAAAATCCTCAGATGATTATTGTTACACTAAAGGTCGTGCACAAGTATCTAAATTATGTACACAAGCAATATATACTCTTTGTTAAAGTTAGGCTTGATTTTTGACCTTTTTTCATACATTTCTTTCTAATGAATGTAAATTGAGGCCCTGTTCCCGCTGACTTCTCACCAGTCTGTCCAGCGATGACCATGGGCTGCATGATGAGGGTGAAGAGTTTCTCCAGCTCCAGGTGGAGGAAGCTGACCAGCGGCTCCAGGCTGGATGACGACAGCGAGATGATGCTCAGCTTCAGCTCGTGCTCCAGTTTGTTTTCAGGGATCTTCTCGTCCCGGACCCTCAGAGGGAACGTGACCCCTCCCTCCAGAGCGTGGCACAGAGAGAAGAACCGCTCCAAGTGGTTGTCCTTGGAGAATAAGAGAAGCAGAACAATAAAGATGAGATGTAAGAAATATTAATGCAAGTGTCAAATGCAAACAAACTAAAAACCATATTGTTTGATGTTTAAACTATCCCTCCATCCATCCATCGTCTTCCGCTTCATCCGCTGCCGGGTCGCGGGGGCAGCAGTCTAAGCAGAGACGCCCAGACTTCCCTATCCACACACACTTCCTCTAGCTCGTCCGGGGGGACACCAAGGCGCTCCCAGGCCAGTTGAGAGCCATAGTCCCTCCAGCGTGTCCTGGTTCTTCCCCGGGGCCTCCTCCCGGTGGGACGTGCCCGGAACACCTCCCCAGGGAGGCGTCCAGGAGGCATCCAGAACAGATGCCCGAGCCACCTCAACTGGTTCCTCTCGACGTGAAGAAGCAGCGACTCTACTCCAAGCTCCTCCCGTGTGACTGACCTCCTCACCCTATCTCTAAGGGAGCGCCCAGCCACTCTGCGGAGGAAGCTCATTTCGACCGCTTGTATCCGCGATCTCGTTCTTTCGGTCATTACCCAAAGCTCATGACCATAGGTGAGGGAGGGAACGAAGATTGACCGGTAAATCGAGAGCTTTGCCTTTCGGCTCAGCTCCCTCTTCACCACAACGGTCCGATACAGCAACCGCATCACTGCGCACGCTGCACCGATCCGCCTGTCAATCTCACGCTCCATTCTTCCCTCACTCGTGAACAAGACCCCGAGATACTTGAACTCCTCCACTTGAGGAAGGACCTCCCCACCCACCTGAAGAGGGCAAGGCACCTTTTTCCGGTCGAGCACCATGGCCTCAGATTTGGAGGTGCTGATTCTCATCCCAGCCGCTTCACACTCGGCTGCAAACCGCTCCAGTGCATGTTGTAGGTCCTGGTTCGTTGGAGCCAACAGGACGACATCATCCGCAAACAGCAGAGATGAAATCTTGTGGTCCCCGAACCGGACCCCCTCCGACCCCTGGCAGCGCCTAGAAAGGTCTGACTTACTGCCGGCAATGCGAACACAGCTCTGGCTCCGGTCATACAGGGACCGGACGGCCCTCAGCAGAGGACCCCGGACCCCGTACTCCCGGAGAACCTCCCAAAGTACACCCCAGGGAACACGGTCGAACGCCTTCTTCAAATCCACAAAGCACATGTGGACAGGTTGGGCGAACTCCCATGAACCCTCGAGTATCCGATGGAGAGTATAGAGCTGGTCCAGTGTTCCGCGACCGGGACGAAAACCACACTGCTCCCCCTGAATCCGAGATTCGACCATCGGCCGTAGCCTCCTCTCCAGACCTTGGAGTAAACCTTGCCAGGGAGGCTGATGAGTGTGATCCCACGGTGCCACTCCATTGGCACCGCCCCCGATCGCCATGCGATGTTGCAGAGACGTGTCAGCCAAGACAGTCCTACAACATCTAGAGACTTTAGATAAACAGGACGGATCTCATCCACATCCGGAACCTTGCCACCATGGAGGCTACCAACCACCTTGGTGACCTCTGCCAGGGAGATGGAAGTATCCGCCCCAACATCCTCAGCTTCTGCCTCCATGGCGGAGGACGTGACGGGGGGATTGAGGAGAACCTCGAAGTATTCCTTCCACCGCCCGATAATATCCCCAGTTGAGGTCAGCAGCCCTCCAGCCGCACCGTACACAGTGTTGGCAAAGAACTGCTTCCCCCTCCTGAGGCGCCGGACGGTTTTCCAGAATTTCTTCGAGGCCGACCGATAGTTATGCTCCATGGACTCTCCGAACTCCTCCCAGTCCCGGGTTTTTGCCTCTGCAACGGCCCGGGCCGCGGCGCGCTTGGCCTGCCGATACTGGACAGCTGCCTCAGGAGTCCCATGAACCATCATTGCTCGATAGGACTCCTTCTTCAGCCTGACAGCATCCCTTACTGCCGGTGTCCACCACCGGGTTCGGGGATTGCCGCCGGGACCAGCACCAGAGACCCTGCGACCACAGCTACGAGCCACCGCATCGGCGATAGGAAGAGAACATGGTCCACTCGGACTCCATGTCCCCCTCCTCCGCCGGGACCTGGGAGAAGCTCTCCCGGAGGTGTGAGTTGAAAGTCCGTCTAACAGGGGGCTCAGCAAGACGTTCCCAGCAGACCCTCACTACACGCTTGGGCCTGCCAGGTCTGACCGGCTTCCTCCCCTGCCAGCGGATCCAACTCACGACCAGGTGATGATCGGTTGACAGCTCCGCCCCTCTCTTCACCCGAGTGTCCGAGACACGCGGTCGAAGGTCAGATGATACGACAACAAAGTCGATCATCGACCTCCGGCCTAGGGTGTCCTGGTGCCACGTGCACTGGTGGACACCCTTGTGCTTGAACATGGTGTTCGTGATGGACAGGCCGTGACTGGCACAGAAGTCCAACAACTGAACACCGCTCGGATTCAGACCGGGCGGGCCGTTCGTCCCAATCACCCCTCTCCAAGTGTCACTGGCATTTCCCACATGGGCGTTGAAGTCCCCCAGGAGAAAAAAGGAGTCCCCGGTTGGTGCACCGTCCAGTACCCCTCCCAAGGACTCCAAGAAGGCCGGGTACTCTGCACTGCTGTTAGGCCCGTAGGCCGTCACAACAGTGACGGCTCCCACGTCGACCTCCCCCACGAGCTCGGGCTCCTTCCCCCCCAGTATTTAAACTAATACTGTAAAATACTACAAACAACATCAATCAAAGCAAGTGATGTGAAATAAGTAAAACATGATCAAGCTTTATGGTGGCCAGAACTTTAAACTCTGATCTGGGTTGCAGCCCAGATCAGAAAGACCCTATAATGCTAAGCTTACTATGGCCTGAGGTAGAATTATTAATACAAATGTATATAGAGTTTTTCAGGACACTGAAAGATGCTTCACATGTCATTATTCTTTCACTCCATACACGATGCTGCCCCGGGGCACACTGACAGAAGTGAGGCAACAGTACGTGCCATTGGCCCCTCTAACCACCACCAGCCATTCTCACACACACCAGACTCATTCTAGGCAATGTGGGTGAAGTGTCTTGGCTAAGGACACAACAACAGTTTGGCACTTTACAGCCGCAGCCGCCTCATTGTGGCACTTGGTGTTCCCAGAGGTCTCCCATCACAATACTAACCAGACCATGTTCTGCTTGGCTTCAGAGGTCTGACAGAATCTGACTTTCACATATAGGTGAATTAATTATTAGTTCCTATTTGTATCTACTTGGTTTCCATCTTTAAAGCAAACATATTCATTCTCACTAATGTTACAGAATTACATTTGTCGTTTGCAGTGTTGAGGAAAATACTAAATCACAGAATATGTGCTTTGAAATGTATTTGGTAACATATACAGTACAGTACTGTATTCTGAAGTTATGTTATAAAATGCAATGCAGCAATGGGCACAAATGACTTTGCTTTAGCACCTTGTTTATGGAAGTAATTGTTGTGTTATTGGATTATTGTGGTTTCATGAGTAAAACGCACCCACATGCACCAATAAAAGGCAAGTTCATATTTGTATACATTACTTGGATTCCGTAAAGTGTGCAAATTACACTTGGGATTTCAAAAGAAGAGTTTTGAAAAATAATAAACAAATAAGGTACATAACATAAAATCAAGAAATCCTGTAATTTTCCCACAGTGGTGAAAAAGGAATAATAACTCTATACTAAATAAAATATAAAAGAATCTCTAACTTTAGCATAAAAAGAGGCAAGTACAATATCTCTAGCTTTAGCATAATAAGGAAACAAATCTAAAATTTCCAACTTTAGCCAAGAAACAAAAATTAGGTACAAAATCTCTGACTTTAGCATGATAGAGTAGTAAGTATAGGAGGGTCTTGATGTGTGAGCCACAGACACAACACAAACGAGCTGTGTATTACAGACTTATCTTGTGTTGTGTCCTCATCATTCCTACTCTTATGTAACTTATGATGCAACACTGACATTTACCCACTACGGGACAAATAAAATATCTCTTAGCTTAGCTTACTGTAGCTTCAATAGATCATGCCCTTGAAGCCAAAACTGCATAATCAAATACCACAACATATTCCTTGGATTGTTGTTGGTTGCTGGTCTCCTCTGTACGCCCGTTCCATGTATTCCATAATCCCCAACACTATTAGTTTGTTTGCAGTAATACCTGAGTGTGTACAGACGACACAGCCTGGATCTCAAGATTAAAAAGACCTTTATGACTTTCCATCCATTTGACTGGAGGGACCTGCTGAGGAAGTTTCTGCAAAACAAGAACAAAATTCAGTGTCTATAAACATCTCAAGTTTACTAAGTTTAAAAATCAGGCAAACAATGGAGACCAAAAGATAATAGACTCCTTTTCCAGAAGGTAAGAATGCTTCAAAGTCACACACGGTGGCAGCATTAACACTAAACAACAGGGGTGGGCACTGTTTGACAAGCAACAGGCATCAAAGCCATTAAAAAGAAAAAAAACTCAGGCCAATGCCATTGGGCACGGAGTTTGTCACTATGTGTGTTTGTGTGCGCGTGCGTAGGTGTGTCTGTGTGTCTGTGTATACCTCTGGTGGGTGAAGAGAGTAATTTATGGGCAGTCTGTCCAAAACAATTGGCAAACAGAACGGCCCAGCCTGCAGCCGATCGCAGTGTAACATGGGAAGCCACTGAAGAGCAAACAAATATATATTAACATCCTATTTCAAAAGACCACACACAGTACTGTATAAAATAAATAATAAAAAAAAGTTGCCTACTGAGTATCCAATAAGTGTTTCGCAGCTTCCACTCTGATTCTGCTTCTGCTGGCAGCTGATGTGGTAGAAGGTGAACAGCAGGTGATGTCTCTCTGTGAGACGAGCTGGCAGGGCTAGTTTTACCTCCTCATAGAAGTCTGGGGACCTAAGCAAACACACACCACAGACATAAGACACAAATATTCAAATAGAGGAAAAAACAAAAAGCAAAAAAGATAGTAAGGCACTCTTAGTCCAGGTTGGGTTCAAGTTTAGTCAGATTTCTTTTTCATAAACTTGCTTGTTATGGTAGGTCACAGGTGTGTAGACTTCACGGACAAATTCGGGACCACTTGATTTTCCAAAAATGACCTACAAATAAACAATAAAACAAAATAAACATACAATTAGAAAAATAGTTTGTTTGTGTGTGCATTTTGTGTGTTTTGTGTGTTTTTTGTGTGTTTTTGGACATACTGCCATGGAGCAGGACGGATCCTCTCCACTCATGAACTGGATTTTAATGGTGATGTTTCTGGCTGAGGTTAATCTGTTTACAAAGTTGAGCCTCTGAGGGTACACGTACAAGAGATTCCTTAAAGAAAAACAACAGAAAAAGTAGTTATAGAGTAAATCTTTGACTCTGAAAAAAAAAACCGTAACATTAAAATGATATGGTATTCAACTTCCACACCAAAAAACCTCTTTCAGTTATTATGAATATTTTTGTGCCAACTGTATTTACAACCCAAAATACAAAGCATATGGCACCAGATTGGGAATCAAATATCATTAAAGTCAAACTTAAAGGAATATAGGAGGATACCTATTGGTTCTCCCACTTGTCAATCATTCTGGTGATATGTGCTAGTCAAATAAGACCATAGAATGTTTTTCAAAATGTGGAAATGTTTTTTCCTAAAATTTGGAATGATCCTCCTACATACCTTTAACTTTTTATATATATTTCATTCATACAACAACTTTAGATCGTAAAAACGTTGCAATGATTTTTTTTAATTTATGATATAAAGCATTTCCACTTTCAGCCACTAGATGGCAGCATTGTTACACAACAAAGCTGATCATCGCAATACTTAAAACACAATACTTGAACAACAAAGAAGGCTAAATACACTTTTCTAATAAATTAAAAAGTCAGTGGAAATATGTGGAATACATATACAAAAAGGATAAACTTTTATTTATTTATTTTTACAGTGAAATCACATTTGTTCTATTGTAATTCAGGTCTTTAAAATAGAAAAATAATTACATTTTGGCACAAGTTCATTAGCTAAAATGCTTAAAAATAGATAGTGACTATACAAATGCCTTGAGTAATATTATGTGAGTGTGTTTTTGTAGCTAATTCCACAAATTACACACAAAGGAGAAAAACCTGTTCACAGCGTCAGGCTTTTGTGACTTTAAAACAGTTAATTAGGGGTGCACCGATACAACACTGGTATCGGATACATGCATATTGGAAGTAGTGTTTGAGTGGTGCTCCTCCAAATCAAATGGAGGAGAAAAGTGGGTTCTGAAGAAAGGATTTGATTCCATTTTGTCAAATCAGGAAACTGTGAGGGTCTAACTTGAAATGCGTCTCTCCCTCTTCACAATTTGAATAACTTTATCCACACCAAGCACTGAGTTAAAAAGTTGCATAAATGTAATACTTTTCTTAATTGGAAGGGCCTTAATTTGTTCTCTGACAGTTAACTTTTGATCAAAAATGCCAGACCTTATTGAGACAGAGGTGTTAGATTTGACTGTAAATAATATATATTGTTGTCGTGAAGACGAGTCATTTACCGGTAAACATTGTGTGGGACGTAGACCTCGCTCGACGGGAACTCCAGCACCTCTTTGACGGGTCGAATGTTCTTTTCTGCCACCGGGACGAGAGGAATGAGCTCCGTGGACAGACAGCTCAGAGGAGTGTCGTGCAGAGGGGACATGTCCAGTCTGATGGTCCCTAAAGAAAGAACATTCAAAGACATTTAATCACGAGTAATTTTTAGGGATCACTTACTAATTATCCAAGATTACACTAGTTTTAAAAATTCAGATTCAATTCATTTGCAACTTGCAGTTAAAAAAAACACAAATTCCCTTGTATGAATACCCACATATTCCTTCTAAATAACTTTAGCTGCTCTTGAAGTTAATTAACACATGATCAATACTGAAAACGACTTTAAAATGTGAAACAATTCATGAATATACTTTGTTGCCTTAAAAAAAGGAAGAAAAAATAAATCTTGTTTTTGCAAATATATATTTTGAATTTGAAATCAGTATGTAATATGTATTTTATATCATTTTGTACATAGTTTTGTTTACGTCTTCATCCAATCCTTTTTGTTGTTGTAATACAGTCAATGAATGTTATATCTGTTATTAAAGAAACAATCGACCAAAATGAAATCCAATCCAATCCAATACCCAGAGTAAACAAAACACTAGAAAACACATGGAAAATAATTTACACCATGAAAAGAGGTTTAAAGACAAGCACATACAAAAGTTACCAACCAATTCTAGTAAAGCTTTTTTCTTTCTCTTAAATAATACAGGTTTTTTGTCCCAACAGAAAGAGTCTTATTAGTTTTTGAAATAAAGATTCAGTCAACAAATCAGACCACATTATTGTAAACTTATCATACTTGTAAAGAAAGAACCCTTTGAGTCATTATTTGATGCTTTGGGCTGAGACCTGATTGAGGCTGGTTGGACTGAGTGAGGTTGGTCCTCTCTTTTTCCCTTTCCTGGCTGGTAAAGATGTGACAGAGGCAGAAGATTGCAAGTTTGATGACCTGATGCATCAACTGGTATCATTTCACTTTGTAATAACCAACTGCTTCCTCTTTGTTCTGACATTGAATCCTCATTTTTGTGGATTGTATAAAACACAGAATGAATGGTTTGGTCAACATCCATCTCAACCTTTTTTTTTACTACTTTGTTAAACTGTATGCGGGCTCTGATAGGCTGATTGTACTTCCTGGTTTTCTGTGTTTCTGTGTTATCTGACTTAGTAGCTTCAGAGAGACTAAACTGAGCCAACGCACTAGGTGGCGCCAACCTGGCTTTAATGAAAACTTTCAATTTTTGTGGTTTGAAAGTTAGGTACTGCAGCTTGACATACTTGAGTCTATAAAAATCTATAATCCCGACCTGGAATTGTCTTTATTCTTCGTTGTGGAGTGGACGTCTTTTTAATGTCGGACAGGAACTTCAACAAGTCTTCATCACTTAAGCGATCACCCTCCTGACAAAGATTATGAGACAAAAGTCAAAGAAAACAGTTTTGCAGTAAATAGAAACATAGTCCTTAATTGTCTGAACTCTAACCTGTTTGAAGATGGTGCTGATGGTGATGGTTGCCGGTTTGAAGGCAGAAATATTACACAACTGATCCTCGAAAGTGCTGTAGCGCTCAGAGTTTCTTCGGGGCAACTGAGTCCGTCTGTCTATGCTGCTGGACTTCCCTGGAAAAAACATTATATTCAAAGAAATTCAATTCAGTTCACTTAACACAAACTAAAGCCAAATTGTGAAAAATAATACAATAATACACTAATGTTGTGAAAAATAAGTGCTTCCTCTCTGCTCTGAAAAAAAAGCTATTACTTTTAGGAAATGAGCAAATTTATTCACAGAAAGTTTACAGGATTTTTAATGAAGTACTACCTCAAAAAAAAAAATATAATAATAAAAATAAGTTGCATTTTTGTAATAAAAAGCCTTCACGAGCTGACACTTTTGGATTAAATCTGATTTGAGGGTTCTTTTTCACTTTTCTGTCTGAAAATGAGTCACGTGTGTAGTGATTGTTTTTAGATGTTTTAAGAGATAGGAACAAGTCAGATTTTATAATATAGTAATGGTTTTCTGATACAAAATGTAGGTAGCCCAGCTTTAAATATACATTAGGGGGGGAAATATTCAAACTCCTGCTGAAAATTACTTAACTAACTAAATTTATCTTTATTGTCATTGTACTAAACATTAAAAAGCAATTACTGTGCAACTTTTACACCAGTTGTAAAATAATTAAAACGATGTAAACTGTTTAAGTCACAATGATACTAAATGTAAATCTTGCCTCCTTTTAAGCTGTCGGAGTCAGTGGTGTCCATGGAGGCGGTGGCGGTGGAGATGACGTCCATGATGTTGACGGTGGCCCAGGCGAAGGGCATTCGATAACGGCCCAGTCTGTAGCAGAAGGTTTCAGCCTGACCCCGCAGTTTATCCAGTTTGTCCTTGTTCTGATAAGTAACACAATGAAGTCTATAAACATTCAGGCTGAAGATAAAGCATTTCTCGACAATATTCCAAGCTCCAACATAAGCGGGATATTTACACTTTCAAAAGGAAAAACCGTCAAAATGACAGCTCTGGGACTTCTAGTGTTATGTCAGTTTGGTTCTATCACTGGCACACACATACATGTATTTTCGGTCTCTGTCACATCTCTAGGTCAGGGTTCTTGAGATAGAAAAAACAAGAGGTGGGTCTATGCCCAAAGCATCAAATAGTGACACATAGGGCTCTTTCTATAAGTAAACATGTTTTCTAATACGCGGTCTGATTATTTACCAGTATTTTACTTTTACAAGACTTTCTGTTGAGACAATAAAAAAGACTTAGGTACTTTAAATCACCGGAACCAATTATAACATTGTATTGTTCTGACGGGAGACATTGAACTTTGTACCAGTATTTGTTTTATGTGGATAGGCACCATAAATACAGATGTCTGACTGCAAAAGAGATCAAAACAACTGTGATTTTGACCTGTCCTTCAGTTTAATCATAAACAGTAGTGATATTTGAATTTTTTAGAAGAGTTTACAACTGGCTTGTTGCAAAAAGTCCTCAATTTTTTCATCATAATATTCCCAGCGCACTGTTTTTTTATACTACATTTAGACACAAACCAACTTTATGTATAATGAAAAACAATGTATTTTTACAATTATAGTAGAAAGTCAAACATAAAAACTTAAGTTAAAAGTCATAATATAGTTCATTTCTGAAGCATTTATATTTTCGTTTTGAAAAATCTGAATTTTTAATGTGTCATTTGTATTTACACAGTTTTAATATCTTATTGTCTGTTTTCAGATAACATGTATTGAGTTTGGTTTGTGAAGCACTTTGGGTTACACTGTATGATTTGTGCTTTATAAATAAATGTGATTGATATTAAGTGGTTCCAGACATACTGTACCTTTCCAGAGTCACTTTCCCTCAGTGTCATGTAGGGATCAGCACAGTCTCCAATCTCTCCCTGCTGAAGCACCTTTTCAAGCTGGAACAGAAACATTGAATATTGTAAAAAAAAATATATATATATATACAGTATATATATTTATAAAACTGTATGGCTATTAAGATAAGATAAGATAGACTGTATTGATCTCAATTCACATTAGGCCTGGATAGAATCACTCAGATTGTGCAAAAGACAGAGTTTAAAATTACTCTAGTCCATACACACCTTAATAACCAGGTAGATGTCGGGGGAGGGGTAGGTGATGGAGAAGATGGCGGATCGGGCCAGGCTAGAGTGCTCGACTTGAGGCGTGTGATATTTCAAGAAGTTTTTAAACTGCTCACTGTTCAGGTCACAGTAGAAGTTCTCCGATATCTACAGATAATAAAAAAATATATAAAAAATAATTCAATTCATGCATAGTTGCTTCACAAACACAATAAAAACATAGAACAAGTGGATGTGATTCTTCTGTTGCCTAATAATCTGGTGTTTTATAATCTTTGTTTGAGAATGTTGGTCAACTAATCACCTCGGAAAAATTACTTTCTTTGACACAGATCAACGATTGGCTTTTGAAGTGAACCCAGTCCTCCAGACCAATGAGTGTGAACAGAAACAGGACAGTTCAGTGTAAGTCCCGCTTGTCTCTGAGTCGTGTCATGTGATCCCTCAAAGTTAAAATCCATTAATCCTTCTCTGTCACCGTGTCATCTTAGTCCACAGACCACAGCATGAATACATCCGATTCTGATTGATATTCTCACTGGAATCAACGAAGCCACAAACTGCGATGACTTTACACACTTCAAAAATTACAGACAAATAAATTACATGTATTTATTTTATTTTATTTCAACAACATTTAATGAGCTCTCAGCCCCGAGTCAAATATGAGCCTTCTTATAAGATATTTATAAAACAGCATGTTGTGGTCAAAACGTATTTTCTGTTGGGAAAAACATAAAAATCAGTACCCCAGCTTTAAAGTAACTATATATTTACACACAAGTGGAGTCAGAGGCCAAAAATAAAGGAATGGGAAAAGTAGTGATAGAACTTGGAACTAGTTATAAGGAGCATAAAACATCTTCTCTTCTTCCCGTTTCTCATTAGATCTCATTGTCATTTCAGCGCCTGTGCCTCTTGTTGCACATGACTAAGGCCATCTGTTGCTAAGGTCATCTGTTGCTATGTGCATCTTTTATAACAGTGCATCTTTTGAATCAGAGCACATTTGCAAAACTTTGGCTGTGACACAATTTGTTTTTGTCAAACTTCACTCGAGGATTTTTTCCACCAGGAGACATCACTGCTGACCACTGATACTCAGACCACCTGCTGGCACCTGCTGACACCTGCTGACACCTGCTGACACCTGCTGACCACTTCTGTCCGGACTGAGAGACTGTTGACCACAAAAAGTGAGCTTTTCCACTTTCCCGGTTCTGTGGCTACGTGTTTGGCCTTTGTTACTCAGACACACAGTGACTTGGATCAAAGTTGAAGCAGGTTTATGTGAGTTTAGACACATGAGTACAACATTTAACAACATTTAATGACATCTATTTACATTTATGGACATTGGTCATCCACCCCTTATGAACCAATGGCTCAGTGTTTTTTATTCATTGCATTTTCTGTGTCTGAACTGTTTGATTCTCTGATCTATGTTGGCAAATACACAACTGTGTAAATTGAGATTTGAGATTACTACTGTTATGATTTAGGGATATGCAAAAATACATTGAAATGAATTGAATTGAGAATTACGCCGCACGTGCGCGGGTCTCCCCGCTTCACGCAGTCCAGAGAGTCGCGGCTGACCACAGCAGCAACAGGGATCATGAGGACAAACATTTTACTGCTCTACAGTTCTCTGGCCCATATTGTCTATAATGTTTAATAATAGTTTGTACGGACAACCCATGAATGCACCACATACTCTGCTAATATACGTGCGAGCCAACAAAAAGTAACGGCTGCAGCAACACGTCTGTATACTGTACCACAGATTGCAAAGTAAACGTACAAATTGCATCCCATCGGTCTGATCATTTAGTGTCAGTGAACACATTACACTGTCCTCTACACTTCTCCATAGACCTCACAGAGACAGCAGAACACCGGGATTCTGCAGGTGTTCACAGCCGCGATGCACGACTCCTCTGCTCACTGACAAAAAAACAACGCAGAAAGTAAAGCAAAAGGGGAAATTGTGATCACCATCACTGACATGCAGATTCTCACGGGATTAGTATTGTCACAGTCTGTGTTTGGACAAATACAGGAGGTCATTTGCGTTTAAGATTACACTAAATTAGTGCGAATAGGGCTGAAGTAAATAAACTTGTTGCACTTCCGGGTAATCGATTGACACCAAAATGTATGAAATACATATTAAAAAAGGTTAATAATTGCATTTTCTAGTTCCCAAATCTGGTTATTATAATATGTATATATGTCTTATAAGCAATGAAAAAAACCAAAATGGTCATTTTTGTATATTGCTGTGTGCCTGAAAATGCAAAATAGCCTTTTTTCCATTTTCCATTTCCCTCCAAAAATAGAGATTGTATTGAACGCAAAAGTACACGGACCGTTGTGCTGTAAGGTCCTGCAGGTGCATCATAAAGTATCAATTAAACAATAATGAACCAAAGAGCTAAAGTACAAGAAACCACGGCCCTGCAGCTGGAACAACTCATTACACTCATTTAAAGCTGGGATACCTAACTTTCAAACAACAAAATATGGACCTATGTAATAAAATCCTAGATCCCGTCTCTAAAACAGTTCCATCACTAGTTTTCACATGCATGTATTCTTGTCCTCTGTTACAACTTCAAATCAACTTCAAAGGAAGGTGAAAAGAGAGGACCATCCTAACTCAGCCATGACAATATTGACTCACAAGGCTTTCTTACAAGAAAGAGCCCCTGTGCTGTTTTATATACATCTTATTATAAGATGTATATAAAACAGCATGTTGTGGACTGAACATATTTTCTGTTGGGAAAAAAAGCAATGTATTAGATATGAAACAAACAAAAGTATAGGTACCCCAGTAACTTAACTAACATATATTTACACACAAGATGAAAATTAGTGATAGAAATATAATGTTTTGAGAGTGAGGAACTCATATGGACAAGGTGCTCCGCTCTGCAAGATCCAGGACTGTGTGCTGTCGGTTCTGCATGTTATTTATGAATCCATACTCTTAAACTGAGCTTATTCCTGTACTTTTAGCTTGTTTTAATCATACTTGTCTGGTACACATTGGGAACTTTTGCAGTTTTACAGCAACTGGCAAATTATATGAATGAACTATATTCTCAGAAAACAATGAAATGAAGAATGTAGTGGCTCTCTGTTGTGTGAAATGTTTGCAGTGATGTTTGACGTGTCCTGTTCCTCCACAGATCCTTGTGCTCCTTCTCCATCAAATCTCGTGGACAGGACTCTGCTTTTAAGCTAAGTCCTCACTCTCTCACACTATGCCTGGCTCCTCTGCTAGCTTCTCTCTGTCCGGGAGGACCTCTCTCTACTCCTCTTCTTCTCTCCCCCCTCGCCCTTCTGTTCCTCCTCCTCCTCCTCCTTCTCCTCCTTCTCCTCCGGCTACTAAGTCTAAGTCTAAGTCTAAGTCTAAATCTCGCTCTGCTCCTAAGCTCCCTAAACCTTACTCTGCTCCTGCTGTTCCTCGCTTGGTCCCTGTGTCTTGGCTCCGCACTGTTCACCCTGGCAGGATCCTCTCTCGTCCTCCTCCCTCTGCTTATTCTACTCCTTCTCAGCGCTCCTCTCGCTCTCCTCCTCCTCCTCCTCCTCCTCCTCGCTCTGCTCCTTCTCCTCCTTGCTCTGCCCCTCCTCCTCCCGGGCGTCTTCAGCTCACCTCTCTGACTGACTCTTGGTTCGCTCCTCTTCCATGCACCCGTAAAATTCCCAGACGCACTCCAACTTCTAAGTCTGCTCCTCCTGCTAAGGCTAACTCTGTCCCTATTGTCCCGCAGTCCGAGCCCACCCCTGCCATCCCTGGACCTTCCATGGACCGGGCGGTGTCTGAGACGGCCCAGCACAAGCGCAAAAGGTCATGTGAGCCGGACGCCAAACATCCATCCAAAAAGCACAAGTCTTGTTAAGAACTGATGCACTCTCTGCTTTGTTTCTTTCAAGGAGCAGAGAGGAACTGGGGCTCACAAGACGGTGTCCCGTGTGATGGGTGATGTATGACTGTGTAAATATGTATATAGTTGGATCCAAGTTTGATCCCTTTTAAAAAACACAAAAAACTCACACAAAAAAATGCATGTTTGTTGTTGTTATATTTTGCAGGATCCTTGTTTGATCCTTTATATATGTTAAGTTTGTTATTGTTTTTACTGGATCCTTGTTTGATCCTTTACATAGGTTAAGTTTGTTACAGTTATAATTGTTGTGTTCCCGTTGTGAATCCCGTTGGATTCCTTAAAAAACACCAAAAAATATGTTTGTTTTGTAACATTGAATGGACAGATTATGTCTGTTACTGTGATCATATTGATCTCTGTTCAATTCCTTCAAAAAAACACAAAATATGCCTCAAAAATTCCAGTTGCCACAACTGCTGCTATATGCTGGATAGAAATTAGAACAAGTGCCACTGAACCCACAGCATTAGCATGTTTCTTATCTCAGCATGTCCAATATACCCTAACTACCAACGGCTACTCCACCTCTGCTGTGACCTGTCCGACTCCACCCAGCGGCTACACCACCTCTGCTGCTGTGAACTGTCCTACTCCACCCAGCGGCTACTCCACCTCTGCTGCTGTGACCTGTCCTACTCCACCCAGCGGCTACTCCACCTCTGCTGCTGTGACCTGTCCTACTCCACCCAGCGGCTACTTCACCTCTGCTGCTGTGACCTGTCCTACTCCACCCAGCGGCTGTTCCAACTCTGCTGCTGTGACCTGTCCTACTCCACCCAGCGGCTGTTCCACCTTTGCTGCTGTGACCTTTCCTACTCCGCCCAACGGCTACTCCACCTCTGCTGCTGTGACTTGTCCTACTCCACCCAGCGGCTACTCCACCTCTGCTGCTGTGACTTGTCCTACTCCACCCAGCGGCTACTCCACCTCTGCTGCAGTGACCTGTCCTACTCCACCCAGCGGCTACTCCACCTCTGCTGCTGTGACTTGTCCTACTCCACCCAGCGGCTACTTCACCTCTGCTGCTGTGACCTGTCCTACTCCACCCAGCGGCTGTTCCAACTCTGCTGCTGTGACCTGTCCTACTCCACCCAGCAGCTGTTCCACCTCTGCTGCTGTGACCTGTCCCACTCCACCCAGCGGCTACTCCACCTCTGCTGCTGTGACTTGTCCTACTCCACCCAGCGG